ATAGAATCATAGAATGGTTTAGGTGGGAAAGGCCCTTGAAATCATCGGGTCCCACCCCCCCTGCCATGGGCAGGGACACCTCCCACAAGATCAGGCTCTCCTCACGGCTCTCCTCTGGACACGTTCCAGCAGGTCCATGTCTTTCTTACGCTGGGGACTCCAGAGCTGGACACAGTACTCCAGGTGGGGTCTCACGAGAGCGGAGTAGAGGGGCAGAATCACCTCCCTTGACCTGCTGGCCACACTTCTTTTGATGCAGCCCAGGATACGGTTGGCCTTCTGGGCTGCGATTGCACACTGCTGGCTCTTGCTGAGCTTCTGGTCAATCAGCACACCCAGGTCCCTCTCCTCAGGGCTGCTCTCCAGCCATACCCCACCGAGCCTATATTTGTGCTTGGGATTGCCCCGACCCAGATGTAGGATGAGGGATATAGCAACAAGAGACCAGTTCTTCTTGACACATAGTTAAATTGGCTTGAGTTATCACTGAGAAAGCTGTTCCAGGTACCATTAGTGGTAGGATGCTTCCAGCTTGACCAGTCAGGGCTCTTTCAGAAGAAAAGGAATGTAAATATAAACTTCAGGGAAAACATCAATTGAAGGAGTACGGAAATAATAATTAAAAAACACTCCAATTTCCCAGCAGCTCCTCAGGAGTCACTTTTGGTGGTAAATTTTTTTTCTCATCTGTTCATGAGACTGTCCCTTTGGTATTGCTTGACCGCACCAAGTCACACTTTTCTGCATTCTCCTTATTGTCTGGCAGCACAACTAAGTAGTCATTCAGGTTTAAGTGGTGACATGCCAGGTGGACTGTCTTGGTCATCTCCATGCTGTCCCTTCAAGCCTTTCCAGCTTGTCCTCTGTTTGTCTTTGTGTCTGTTTCTGTCATCAGTTTTGTCTTGTCACTTCCCTGTTTCTGCATCTTTGGGTTGTTTTTTTTTTGTTGTTGTTGTGATTGTTTCCCAGTTTCCCCATCTCCTTCTGTCATCAGTCTGAGGTCCTCTGGCCCTTGATAGGACAAGGGGGGATGGCTTCAAACTGGAAGAAGGAAGATTTAGATTAGATATTAGGGAGAAATAGTTCACTTCGAGGGTGGTGAGGCACTGGAACAGGTTGCCCAGAGAAGTTGTTGAGGCCCAATCCACGGAGGTGTTTAACGCCAGGCTGGATGGGACTTTGAGCAACCTAGACTAGTAGGAGGTGTCCCTGCCCATGGCAGGGGGTTGGAGCTAGATGATCTTCGAGGTCCCTTCCACCTTAAATCGTTCTATGGTTCACCCTGGGCTCTGCTATCCTGTTTTCCTCTGGCTGGTTTTAACAATGTTGCCCTATTGCCTCCCTGTTACTAAGTGAAAAGTGAGCATACAGGCAGGAAGGGAAGAGTTCACATCAGGTTGCTTCGGTGGCTGCTGGTGTTAAAAGCCGCTTATAACTTCTAGGCGCTTGTAGCCTTTATCTTTTCTCCAGAGGGTTAGCCAGAACCAAGAGTGAGGGAATGGGGCTTTGGAGGTCTACATTTATAGAAGAGAGCTTGTAGGTGGCTGTGAGAAAACCTTGTAGTGCTATGCAACTAACTTGTTTCCCTCGCCCAGGAAAGGTGTTAAAAAAGTTTACATGCTGTATAGAGTATCTTCTTTGTTAATTTAAAATGTGCAGTAAAGCATCAGACCAGAATTTGTGCCCATGTGCACCATTCCCCCAGATGCCCTTCAGCATCCTGTTCTGGCATCTGGAGATCAAAGGCAAAAGTGATAGGGCTGCAGTCGTCCTCTAGCTGGTTTGGAGTGAAGACACTTTGGGAGCAAGTCCTTTAGATTTCTAAACAAGTAGTAACAGAGGTAAACAAACCTTTACTGCACAATGTAACGGCTCTGACTAGGCAAATACAGTTCAGATAATGCCCAGAAGCATAGTAGCAACATCAGTAGCTTTCTAACTGGCTGCAAAAATATTTTTTTTTTTTTTTCCAGGCAGCAGGACAGAGCAACAGTGGTCCCTGAATAGCCTATCAAATCTGATTGGTTACAAGAAACTTATTTAATTAAACCTTGTTTGGAAAGGAGGTGACAGAATGTGGCTGGCAGCCTGTTCTAGTGTTACTGTGTGCAGTGCTTAACAAATCTGTTTGCTGACAGTGCCTTCTGTAGTAATGATATCTTAATAAGTGCACACTCACAGTGCATCAGAGGAGCTAGTGTGATGAAAAACTCAAAGCTACCTGAATCTAAAGTGTGACTGTCTCTCTGGAAGTGGTCCATTTCATTGTTAGCTTGCTGTTGGTATGCCTTAGCTAGTTCTGTAGTTAAAATAAGGTGCTGCATATGACAAAAGAATAATTTTTCCAGCTGGACTTTGAAGTTAATGCAGGTGCTTGGTCTGCACTCAGATTTTACGACAGGATTGCCAACAAAAGCAAGAAACTTATTGCTTATGTAGGGTATTTTGATGATGAGGACACATCTAAGGCTTTATGCAGCTCCAGATTGATGTACTACTGCAAGACTCCCTGGATGTATGCATCTTTGGTTTGGAAGGATTCATACGCGTTGCTACTGGGGTCGCTGGAGCAAATTGATAGTGCCACAGTACCTAAAATCAGTGTGAGAGGCAGTAAACTTAGTATGTCCTTGCAATGGTCTGCTGAAGAGGGGACATAAATTATCATTCTAAAAATAATATCTTTGAATTTTCTTTTCAATGTCCTTTATGTAGGTACAGTCTGGAGTAAGCTGCTTCTGGTACATTAGGTAGATGGCATGAACTGTATTGTCTGTAGATAACTGGTGCTGCATTGAAAAAACTTCCTTTTCAGTTGAGTTGCCAAAGTGAGGAGGTTACTTCCTCTCACCAGAAGTTTTCAATTCCTTTAGAAAAGGAGCGGCTGCTTTTCAGTCTGAGGTAGTAACAGGAAGAAGGACAAACTTAGAGAAATTAAAGGAAGTGTGTAGAGACCTTGTCCCTAGTTCAGCTCCACTGCAATAGTAGTGGATGGTGGGCAGCCATAGTGCATGCTTGCAGGCAGTGCCTCATAGTCTCCGGTGACATACAGAGAGGGCTGATGAGTTGTGTGAAGGCCTGGCTTTTTCAGTAACAACAGATCAAGTTGATGTCTTAATTGCTACTGTCATACAGAGGAACTAGCCACATAGTAGCTTGTCTGACACTGTGATCCAGGTCTGAAAGGTGCAGCCTATTTCAAGTGCTGTAGTCTGCCGTCTGATCTCCTCTGTGACACTGGAACCAGTAAAGCCCATTCAGCTCTAGTAGCTGACATGGAGCTGTACTGGGTAGTCTTGTGGCTTTGCCTTTGACAGCCTTTCTGAGATGGAAGGCTCAGCACCCTTTCACCTTCTTTTTTTTCTTCTTTTTTTGAAGCCGCAATCTTTTGTTTGCTTCTGAGAAGCAGTTGCCAGCTAATGCCAAAACCAGTTCTCTGGCTTAGTATAGTGGTTTTGGATGTAATAACAATGTTGAGAGAGATGGTGAGATGTGCTGAGAAGAACCTGACAAACATCGAGCAGAGTGACACATGGCTTTTATGTACACGGTATGCCTGGGGTTGCCCAACGTGACTCACTTCCTCATAGCCTGGCATCTGCTCGCTGCGTTTCATGAAGTCTGGTTGAACCCAGGTAATTTTTGTGCAGCTTTGGCTTTAGCTGTGTGTTGGATTCCCGTTAGCTGGTACGGTTGGTTCACCTATTGATTTCAACATAATGTTGAAAGGGACCTTGGCACAGCAAAAGGCATTTTTCCTGAAGTACTTGTAACTGGCTCTTCCTGACCTCAGTTGTCATGTCAGCAGCTGCCAGGAGGAAGAGCTAAGCTGTCTGTGTAACCCTCACCTTATGACACCCTTCCTTTAAGGTGACATTCGCATTTGGGACCTGCAGTGGAATCAGTGAGGCTAAGAGCTTGGTTGAGGAATTATGGGTGTGAATGTCATATCTGCTTCAAGTTGCGTTTTGAGCGCTGTCTGCTGCTGGTGGGGGTGTACCAGATAACATTTTTGAAGAACGGCCGTTGGGCATTTCAGTCTATGAGCTGGGCTACTTCAGGAACAAAGGACAACTGGTTCTTTGTCGTGTGTAATGTCAAAGGAGGACTTACAAATTCAGTTATTGGAAGAATTATGCTGTGGTGGCTTGAGAAAGATATTGTGGTGTACTTGTAATCTGGCAATAGAACCAGTTACGCTATTGAACATGCCATAAGCATCCTGGAGCAGGGTTTTAGCTGACAACTAATTAGACAGCTAATTCTGTCTTAAACAACTCTTTCCTCAGGACAGGCCCGCTCTGTGTTAAAAGCTGGCTAGGCGCTTGTGTGTTTAACATCTTAGCTATACAGGATTTGCATCCAAATTTAAAAAGTTGGTAGTAAAATTCTGTGGGCAGTGGATGAGGACTATTGTTAGCGTTATTTTTTGTGTGTATCTGAAAACATCTTCCTAATGGTACTTTTTATTGTATACCTGTATTGTTGTCTGTGCATTACCCAGTGTGTCTAGACAGGTGCCACGCTGGCTAAGTGACTGCATACCCAATATGATAGTATCCCCTTTTAGAGCACCAGGGATTAAACTGAAGAGGATCAGTGTGGTATTTCCAGTAGGAAGGGCTGTTCTTAATGCCAAGGGAGGCAGGGTGTGCTCCATGTGCCTGGGGCAACGTGGCCTCTGAGTGCTGTGATTTGGAACTCTCTGCCTTCTGGGTCAACCTGGCTGCTTCTTGCTGTTTGTTTTTTTTTCTTTCTTTCTTTTTTCTTCTTCATTTTGCCATTTAGATTGTCAGACCCTGGGCTGTTATTTGTCTGCTCAATCAATTTTCAGAGCTGTAAAATAAGTTTGCTTATCTATCTTGGGAACAGGATAAACAGCAAGTGTCTGCAACATGTCCCATAATCTAGAGATAAGACTCTGTAGAACTGCATATACTTATGCTGTGCTACATTTATAAAGTTGTTAAAGCCCTTTTAAAATGTTTTTCAGGTTCTAAATGGCTTCTAAGAAGTTGGGATCCGACTCTCATGGTAAGTGAAATTTGTCATCCTTGTCTTTTCAACAGCATGAATCCTACTATTGCTGCTGATTAATGTCCCAGCCTAGACAGTCCATAGAGACTAATCTGTTTAGCCTGTAAGTAGTTTTTTTGTTGGGAGTGAAGTACTTTGGCTTCCTTCTTGCATAGTTGTTTGTTGACACTGTGGCTGTTCTCTTGTTAAACTGAAATTCAGCCTGTGACTCTTCCCTACTCCTTCACGGCAGAGTAATACCTTCTCCTTCCCCTATTTCCCCTTTCAAAATCAAAGTTGAACTGCAGTTGTGATACTGATTGGATGTTTGCTGAAGTGGACACTAGATCTGTAGCTCCTTTCTATGGAAGTCACATGAGAAGTTGGATTGAAATCGAAGCTTTTAATATATCATTGAGCTATGTTTGCTTTTTGCACAGCAGTGAATTTTTTTCCCTAAATGTATGTATTATGGTTCAGCTTTTTTTAATATCTTCATCCATATTTGAGATGTGTAGGGTCATGCAGATGACTGGTATGATTAAAATTATTTGCTTGTATACGTGCCTATCTTTTAGAAAATGGGGTATAACTTGAGAGGATTAATATTTCTGTGGAACATTAAAGTTCAGTTTGTTGTACATAATGTAGTTTCTTCAAATCAGTAATCATTCAAGGCAGTACTGGGAGGTTCATGTGAAATTTCTAACATGATTTTTCATGCTATAGAAACTCCTGCTTTTAAAAACTCAGCTCGATCTTTCTGGATCATCTTTCAGATGACATGGTCCTGAGGAATTCCATTTTTCCTGAGCTTTTTATTGAATCTTGCAAGTGTAAAGTTGAAGTACAGAATAAGTGCCTCACTTAAATACATGGTTAAGGGTTAATAAAAAAGGCCTATCAAAACTTAGTCTCCTTTGCTGTGGTGCAGTGATCATACTGCAAGACAATTAATTTATTAGATAACTGCCAGCTCTTCAGCAGTTGCTCTTGTATCTGTGAATGGTCTCTTGTGAACACTCTGAACTGTTTGTCTTTTGAGTCCGTGTTTATTTCTCTCTTCTGCTTCCTAAACCAGACTAGCAAAGACACTGCTCAGAGCTAGAATTTAACCTGTGTTAAATATTTCTTGAAACAGTACGGTGTGTTGGAACATGCTTCTGGTCTCAAAATAACATAATCAAAATGCTATAAGCTGGCTGGTTAACTTGTCTACCATTTTGTGTACCCTCTGGTCATACTGATACCAGCAACGCTGTTTCTGAGGAGTAGCAGTGCAGCACAGTTGTTTCAGTCTTCTTCAGGGTTGTTAAGAATTAATCCCAGTAAGTGAATTTTGGCTTACTAGCCCAACAGCTACCTTCGGCTTGATATCTCTGGCAGGCTGATGAAATTGGTCAACATAGTTGGTGTATCTCTTACACTTAATTTGAGCTGCTTATTGGAGGTTAGAGGGCTGTTGTAGAATCACAGGATGGTTGAGGTTGGAAGGTACCTCTGGAGACCATCACGTCCAAACACCCTGCTCACGCAGAGCTACCTAGAGTAGGCTGCTCAGGACCACATTCAGATGGAGATGGAAACATGGGTATGGGTGGAGAGAAAGAAATGCTTTTTCTGTCTTGAAGGGTGTTTTTAGAATACAGCTGTAACTATGCCCAAGCATGTAACCAAATGGTCTCCTGTCATTTAAATAATTGGAAGTTCAACTTTAAGTTCCAGTAATTAGTGGCATCTAGAAGTGCAGCTCTGATCTGTTGCGTAAAGTGTGGGTTATACCAAGTACAGTACGCTAATATTGCTGTTATATTGTCACTGTCACTATACAACTTACGTAATTTTCAGAAATTGAAGTTTTTAAGTGTGGTTTATGTGACCACAAAAACTAAGTTCCACTTGGTTTCAAAACTGTTCCCCATTCATAACTGGTAACTGACTTTATCTGAAATGTTTCCATTTTGCTACCAAACTAGAGGACACTTCTATAAGTTGGCCAGTGATTTCCACATTACACTAAAGTGGAGAGAAATCCTACTCTCGTAGTAGTTCCTTGGTCCAGCAATATCATACAGTGTGCGGTGTCAGAGATCAGACTGACAGGTACAGTTTTTTTCAGAACTTCCTCAATATGCTTTTAACTGCTAAAAGAATGAAGTGACTAACAGCCATATTAAATAACAGTTCAAAAAAACCTTTAATTGCTTCACTGGAACATGTGACAGTTGAAACACTGGCTTGTGTAATACTTTCTATCTGTGGGTTTTGCTTATTGCTTTAGAATTTGCACCCTTACCCATCAGTGTGTTCAGGCAGAAGGGTCATCCATTTACAAGTAGAAAAGGATTCTTGACTTTCTGGTTGAGATTGTAACTTCACTAAACTACTATGGTTCTGATTGGGCTGGAACAAAGTGAATACTGTGTGCATCAGCGTTTTGCTTGAGAAAGATTTTTACCATCAAATGTCCTAAAACACTTGGTGTGTTTCTTAACATGCGTTTGCAGGCTCTAAGGAAGAGGTATATTCAAGATGAGGTTATTGCAGTGGTCGTTATTAAAGAATCAGTATAGTGGGAAGAAACTAGAAGATTTTTATTCCTTAGTCTAGCTGCTGAGGTTAACTGGCAGCTGTCAGTGCAGCCCATCTAGTCTCGGTGCGTTTAGGGTGTTTATACTGCACCAGAACAGAGTGTGTCGCTATGTAAATACCACAATGTGTGCTTGTACCCTCTGTGGCTAGTACCTATTTCAGGCAGAGGCGGTAGCTGTGCAAGGGGAGATGTCTACCACTTACTGTGTCAATAGGTCTAATAAGACAAGTATTTGCATACTGAGCAATTTGGGCTGTGAGATGGGTGCAGAGCGGTAATCCTGCTTCTCTTGGATCATCCTGCTTAGAGCAGGACTTCTGCCAGTGGGACTAAGCCAGGCATAGTAGCAGCAGACACACTGGACTCTGAGCAGTCGGGAGATCTGGTTGTCTCTGACCTTGCCATGATTTACCACTCTCAGTGCAAAGGCTGCTACAGGTGCTACTTCTGCATAAGCAAACACTTTGGCATATCCGGGTTCTCAAATTGCCAGCCCAAATACAGTTTGGATGCTGTGTTGCAGATAGTGGTGGTGGTGGCCAGTGAGGTGCCTACTGGATGCTGTGCTGTGTAATACTTGACTTTGCGCTTCTCAGAAAGGATCAGTGAAAATACTATTATATTCTCCCTGGAGCATTTTTTTTTCCCCTGGTGGTGCATTTTGGATGTAGGTTACTCAGCCTCATGGTTTCAAAGCTGGAGGAAGTACCACCTGTGGCCTAACAGGACTCTGGGACCAGCCAGTGTGGTGCATAGTATGAGAGCTGAAGTGATGACAGCACATAAACATTTAACTACAAATTAACAGGATGTTCCTGTTTTCAAAAGCTGCTCGTCCTTTTGGAGCCTGTGGCTGCCTTGTTGTAGATGAGTCAACAGTGAAGGAACACAAACAGTACTTAAACTATCATCTGAGTATGAAAAAGGGTCAGATAAAAATGTCTAGTCACAGCTTACTAAGCAAGAGGTTAGTCACTGAACACCAGTGTTAGATGTTGCCACTAATGTCTTTTTGGATCTGCAATACTCAAAGCAAAGTTACAAACAGGTGCTAGAGGAACACTGCAGTTTGTTATACACAGCCAGAGACCTTGCCTGTAATTCCAAAAGCTTAGACCAATGATCCAAGAGACCTCTTTCAGTTAACGCAGAAATTGAGCGCAATTTATATTTGTCGTGGTTTAGGCCAAACTACCCACTGGGGGCATGGGGCACCTGAGACGGGACCGATGGATGTTCCTCCCCACCTTTCTTCAAAGAGAGAGGCAGAGGAGGGAAAAAGAGACTTATGAGTTTAGAAGGAACTAAAATATTTTAATGAAATATTAGTAATAAAATAAAAGGAAAATAATGAAATACATACAAAATTGTATCAAGCTCCCAGGGTGACAGTCATGTCACCGGCTGGCACTGGGGAAGTCCCAGACTGGACTCAGTGACGGACAGGAACTGGATTTGGGATAGGGATCAAAGGCAGACAAACAGAGTCCTCAGACATCAGCCATTGCAGAAGGAGCACTGACCCTTTGATCCCTCAGCTTCTACACTGAGCATGATGCAGATGGGATGGAATACCCTGTGGGTCAGTTTTGGGTCACCTGTCCTGTCCGTTCCTCCCCGCAGATGGGACCCCTCTACGCTTTTTCACTTCTGACCCTCCAACGGGCCAAGTAACCAAGTTCACTGTGCTTGGGGGTTACAGCAATAGGTATAAGCAGGAGCCTCTCTGCATACCATCCCTTGGCATCGGCTATAAACATAGGTCTTATCACTCTGAGAGCGAACAGTGTCTGCACAATATGCTGTTAATTTCAGTAGTTAGAGGAGGCCCGGCTAAGAAGCAAAGTTACTGAACAAAAATTGGTCCTGTTTTACCTCAAACCAGAACAATATTGTAGGTTTTACTTGTTCGCAGCAGTTCAAGGAAAACAAACCTGTAGTCTGACTTCTTGGAGGTGGTTGAGGTCTAAGTGATTCTGCCTCATGAGTTTGCAGGATGCTTGACGAAAGTTTTATCGTAAAACACTTTTTAAATACCACATGTAAGTGATAGATACAAAGGACAGATGGAGGGCCATGAAATAAGTCTGAGGCCTCTCGTTGGAGTGATCAGAAATCAGACAGCTGTTTAAGTTAGATTGCCTTGTTTCAAAAATTAGAATTGCTATGCTAATTAGCCTTGAGCTATTTCACTGTGTTTTGGTTAAAGTGGAGTGCCTACACTGAGCCACTTGGTCCTTGTGACCACTTCTGTCCAAATGTTGGTTCCTTATCTTGTATGCCAAAACGTGGATTTTAGTTCGTCTTAGTTGCTCTAAAGCTGTCTCATTTTAAATGTGTTTGAATTGGTTTAAATATGTTTTGAATACGACAAAAAGTGATGGATTTTTTTTTTTTTATAGAGACATACCAGAATACAGTGTTCAGCAGAGCTTCAGCTTCCAGTTGTGTAGGCATAGTCTTGTCAAAAGGGAAGCTGAAGTATTAGGTATGAGGACTTCAGAATCTGTTCAATTGTTGGACTGTTATGTTGGGGGGGAGAGGTTAGTAGTTATAGGCTAGAACATTTTTTAAAAAAACAAACAAAAACCAAACACCAAAACTGAGGCAATGAAGTCCAAACACATTCAATGTGTTTCAGATCAAGCAACTTCCTGTGTATTGAGTCACCTCATGTAGTCGGGGCAGATAAAATAGCTCCCAAGTACGGAAATGTCAGTCTTAATCAAATGCATTAAACTCTTAAATTTTTTACAATATGATTTTTGCTTTTGATCTTAGGGCCTTTCAGTTATCTTGATGATGTCCCATTTAAGATAGGAGACAAATTCAAAACCCCAGCAAAGGTTGGATTACCCATTGGTTTCTGCCTGCCGGATTCTTCTCAGCTTGTCAGAGAAGCCCAGGTAAGTGATGTGTTTTGCCTTTCCACTCTTCTCCCCCTCATCCCTGGCCCCCAACATGGGGTGCTGTAAATTGCAAGTTGTCATAGTTTGCACATGTGTTCAGATATTAGTCTTGTCTGTCCTGTGGTGTCATTTTGTATACCAGGCAGTAGTTGCAGAAGATCTGTTAGAATGTATAGGAGATAAAAATATGATAATACAAAAAGCCTCTACTTCTTACCACTTAAAAAAGCCTAATAGCATTTATTTTAGTGTCTCTGCTTCAAAAAAGCTTAATGTTTTTGTGTAATAGTTGCAGTTCTAAATGTTGCCCTGACTAAATTTGGGTAACATTTTTATGTGGAAAAATGGTAAGAATTGATACAGCCATGCTATGGCATACTTGCAGAATCTTGTTTGAGGGTAACAGCTGTTTCTATGACCATATTTTATGGGCTCTTGCAATAGTAGGATGAAGAAATAAATTTCCAGCTGTATGGCAAACAGATCACAGCTTGGTACGGATGGCTTCCAGGTCTTTGAGTATGTCTGTGTTACCATAAACTCTTGGTAGCATAAAATCAATTGCTTTAGCATAACTGTTAAATCTAATCTCCAAATGCTGGTTGTGATACAGGAAATCTAATTGAACTATGTTTTCTCATTTGGATCCATGATTTTCCTTGATCAGTCCAAACTGATAATTGTTTTCACTTCAGCTGTGACAGACTGCTGTAGGTGGTTCTCTTTTTTTTTTTTTTTTTTTTCTGACCTGCATAGTACCCTATTACCCTACATCATGGCTTTTTCATTATAGCCATTAAAAGATTACTTGATTGTCCTAATACACATATTTCCAACCAGTCAAGCTGGTGTGGCAGAGCTAAAGGAGACTCTCGTGTCCTATTGCTGGCTTCGTTGTGCTGTCTCCATTTTCCTGCCAAGCTGAGGCTCAAGTGTAGTATGCCTTATTGGACTGCAACGCCTTGCGTGATATAATATAACTATGTAGACTATGCATCTCACAGTGCAATTTGATTTTTTTACAGCTGTCGTGAAAGCTGTTAAAAAAAAAAAAAACATGCAGGGAAGTAAAATTGACCAAAGCCATATATTTTTATACAAATATCCCCCTTTTATTTAATATAAAAAAAAAAAATAGAATGGTTTAGGTTGGAAGGGACCTGAAAGATCATCTAGTTCCACCCCCCCTGCTATGGGCAGGGACACCTCCCACCAGACCAGGTTGCTCAAAAGCCCCATCCAGCCTGGCCTTGAACACCTGCAGGGATGGGGCCTCCATAGCTTCCCTGGGCAACATGTTCCAGTGTCTCACCACCCTCAGAGTGAAAAAATTCTTCCTAATAACTAATCTAAATCTCCCCTCTTCCAGTTTGAAGCAATTATCCCTCGTCGGGTCAGTACATGTCCTTGTAGAAAGTCCCTCTCCAGCTCTTTTGTAGGCCCCCTTCAGATACTGGAAAGCAGCTATAAGGTCTCCCCAGAGCCTTCTTTTCTGCAGGCTGAACAATCCCAACGCGCTCAGCCTGTCTTCATAGCAGAGGTGTTCCAGCCCTCGGAGCATCTGCTACTGGTAGTTACCATTGGTGTAGCATGCGTATCTCCTTTGGATGGTGAGCCATCGGCACTGGAGTAAGAATACCAATACTTCTTAAAACACTAGGTGTAGAACTCTAATATCCAGGCCCTTAAGAGTCTTTTAGGGGGAACTAAGTAATATTGTATTGGTCTTTGGATGCAAAAACACTCTGCTGTAGTCTTGAATGATTTGTGGACAGGGAGTAGTTTAGTGGTACCAAATCTGGGTGTGATTGTCCGTCTGGTAACGTATTAGACTTCCCCTCACTAGATCCATTGTCCTGGGGGTAGAACATGGAAGGGCTGCAAAACTGATCTTGGTGATCAGTAGCTCCAAAGCAAAACTAAATGTAGAAAGGAGACAAAATATGATTTTTCTAATCCAGACTGTAGACAGGTTTTGCTGCTAGATGCAAAATGAAATACTTTTGGTGTTTTCTAGCTTTGCCAGTCTGTAGGTTACAAGAGATGCTGAGGGGGGAAAAAAAAAAAAAGATGCCTGTCCACGGTAATTCTTGTAGCTGTTTTTCTATGTTACTACTAGAAGTGGCGGCTCTGATCCTTACGATTTATCTTCTTTTTCTTTTTTTCCTCTCCTTTCCCCTCTACCCCCTGTCAGTATGACTTCTCACTGGAGAAGAAAACAATCAGGTGGGCTGAAGATATCAAAAAAATTCAAGCTGCCCAGAGAGAAGCTGAACGAAAGGCAGAAGAAGCGCTAGCGAACTCAAAAGCAGCTCCAGAGGACAGCAACAAAATGGGCTTCTCAGAGGGACCTTGCCCTGAGGCCATGCCTCCTCCTATTAACCCCATCCTCGCTAGCCTGCAGCACAATAATATTCTTACTCCCACACCAGCCAACAGCAGTGCTGTGAAGCAAAAGGTTCTCAGTCCACCTCGTCCAAAAGCAGACTTCAACCCAGCTGATTTTGAATGTGAAGAAGACCCATTTGACAAACTGGAATTAAAAACTATCGATGATAAGGAGGAATTAAAAAATATTCTTGAAATTCATGTTGGTACTACTGGGCCAATTGTTGCCCAGCTGTTAGATAATACTTTGCCCAAAAGAGGGTCTGAGTCTGTGTTGCAAGATGAGGAAGTTCTGGCATCCATAGAAAGGGCCACGTTGGACTTCAAGCCCCTTCACAAGCCCAATGGCTTTATTACTTTACCACAGTTGGGAAACTGTGAAAAGATGTCCTTGTCTTCCAAAGTGTCCCTGTCCCCTATCACTTCAGTGAGCAATATCAAATCCCTGTCCTTTCCTAAACTTGACTCTGATGAGAGTGATCAAAAATCATCAAAGCTCACAAGCTCTTTCCACAGCACTACCTGTCTCCACAATGGCACTTTGCTCAGCTCTTTGCAGACCTGTGCTCAGAGTAAAGCTAGTGAACTGAATGGACACCATATGGTTGGTCTTTCCGCTCTAAATGAGGACAGTGGCATGGAGACATCAACATTATCCTCTTCATCCAGGCTGCCTTCCCTGGCTGTGTCAACAGTTTGTACAGAAGAAGAATCATCTCAAAGCACAGCGACTATGGTAAAATTGTAGTAGATTAGAATTGGGGTGGCTGGGGAGATACGGAGGTGCAGAGGCAAATGTTGCTTCTAAAATGTTTTGTGGCTTTGGTTTTAGGCTCATTTACTGGGAATGATATGTAGATCCTCTTAATTTACGCCGCAGATTGATCAGTCCAACAGGTCTTCATGCTGGCAGTTCTGAACCTCAGATTATTATTCTGCGTGTTTCCCCCAAATCTGCTATTTTTAGACCAATTCTGGTAACTTTTCTTTCAGCTCTTGTTGTTTGTAGTTGCACACCTTTAAGCTAAGCATATAAGATGTTGTCTCTGTATGGTCTTGCATTCTGTCTTGTCCAACTGAGATGCATCAGATTCTGAAGTGCTATTAGGTTTTGAGTTAAATCTCTGCTAGGTTTGTTCCTCAGCTTGCTTATTTATTTGCTGGAAATAATGGGTAATGCAGACTTTTCAAGGAATAGACACAATAATAAATTAAAAACCACACATGTGCTGTGTCATTCAGCAAAGAAAAAGTGCTTGCAGTTGACCTGCAGTGAAATAAATGTCCTTTTTTTTTTTTTAATTTTCTTCCTGATATCCTGTTAAAATCTAATCTTAAAGAAGAAAATTACAGTGGTCTGAAATCTGGTATTTAGCCTCTTCCTTGTGAAGGAGGGTGGAAGGATTGGTTGGTAGATAGCAAAATCAGTCTTTAAGATCATCTCAGATTGCTAACATTATAGTTGTTTGCTGTATGACTCTGAGACATGAGTTTGATGCTTCATTTCCTCAAACTTATAGCAAGTTCTAAAATTACTTTGAGGGCACTTAACTTTACACCAGCTGTTGTCTTTGTCTCTTTGCAAATAAGAGCAGAGATTTGAGTAAGCTTGTGGGGTTTTCTTCCAAAGAACCTAAGATCTCGACACTAATACTCATGAAGTCTAGTGAAAGCTATATAGTCAAATCCTCTAGCTGCTTCTAAAATAATCTGATTTCTTCTGTCCAATATGAGCAGTGCTTCAGTGGTTCTGTGGTCTTAGGGTATACTGTAGGGTTTTCTGTGATACCATGTGCTCTGAAACAAGTGACACTACTGCACTCCTGTTGTTCTTTCACCTCTTTTCAAGCTTAGGTAAATGCACTATTAATTGCGAAATACAGTATTCTGGCAACCAGTATATTCATCAGAGCACAGAACAGCTGTTTATTGACCACTCAAACAAATTTAATACAGTGAACTTTGGCAGAAGCAGCAGTCTGCTGAGCATCTGCTCACTGCTGAAGATCATGGGTTTGAGAGGTGAATGTATGATCATATGTAGCTCAGAGGTGAAACCTCAAAGTATGACATGTGACATATCTCTAGGGATTAACATGAAAGATCACTTACAACTAGATAGATGGGCATTCAGATGGCCAAATTTTAACTCTATTCAAATCTCTATGCTGGATTAAAACTGACTAAAGATCAAAAGGGAAGTTGTATTCTCGAGAACACTGTAAGGGAAGATACAAACTGATAAACCAAAAAAAATGGACTTATTAGGAGAAGTAGCAAAGATTTTAATTTAGAACTATTTCTGCTTTGGAAGTGGCAAACCAAGATGCAAGTGTTACAACAGAACTGGGTCTTTCTGTTTAAATTCCAAGACTTCAGACTGTACTTGTTTCACATTTCCACAATGTGATCCCAGTGGCTGGAAAATGATAGCTAAGCTGCAAGAAATTGAAGTAAATGCAACAAAAGTATTGAAGTAAATGTAGCAATAATCCTCAAGAGTATGAAAATAATAGAAGGAAGTCACAGTCATCCCTGTGGCTAGGAACGGAAGGGTCATGCATCCCTTTTCTTCAAGGTTACACAAGAACAGACCTATCCTTTTTAGAAAGCCTCAGGACAATTACATGTCACAGCGTGTTCCACAGTGATTGTATTTTTTTTTTTTTTCTCACAAGATTAGAAATTGTAACTTTGGATTTGGAGTTACCCCTGGAGTTTATGCTTTACCAGTGAATTGGATCTAGGATTTTTTGGATGGAAATAAACCTGTGATTTCTCTGAGGCTGCAGTGATTAGCATGATGTGTATGGGTACAGGAGCTGCAGGCAGGACTCCTGGCCTCTGTATGAAGTCCCTAAAAGTAGGCACAGTGTGCAAGCACGTACTGAAAGCACTGCACATCTGCGTCTTGAAGGGCACTGAAATGTGATTTTGAGATGTAAGGGAGCGTGGCTACTGAGTGACCAATCCTGGCTTTGTCCCCTGCAATTGCTTTAGCTGTTTCCCCTCCTCTGCTGGAAGTCACTGACCACAAGCACAGGTTATCAAGCTCAAGTAGATTAAGGAGGAGGAGTTGGTTTTCCCAGACTCTTGAATCTCTGGTGTCAGAAGCAGTTTTGGTTTTCCTGGCTGCAGCATCCATAACAAAGCATCATCCTTCAATTTGAAAGCCAGCTGATTTCGGGGCTACTCCAGACAGTGTATCCTGTATTCTAGTGCTTTTTGCTCTGGTCGAAGTGCTTGGAGAAGGTGTGTGTGAAGAACTTTGAACCCCTCTACTACCAAGGGGAGAGGTTCTTGGGTAAACTAGTTCATCAGACTGAATATGATTTCTCAGGCATTGTCTCCTAGAAGAGAAATTGTTACCCTGGATATGAAAATGGTCAGAAATGCAGAACAAAACCTTCTTGGTGGTGGTTTGAGTTTGTTTGGGTGGGGTTTTTTTTTGTAAGTAAATGGAATTTGGCAAAATCCTAATAGGTTCACCCAGAATTGGGTTTTGTATAAACAGGTTTTTTGTTGTTCAGTTTGAGCCCAAAGAAGGTCTTCCTGAAAGAAGTGGACAAGGTTTCAAGCAATCTATATTGGCGTAATAAGTATTAAGAAATGCAAAAACCTGAGGCTCTTGGTCCGCAGTGATTTCTTGCAGTCTTTTCTAATTCTATTTAAAATGCAGGAAGGCTTTTAAACAAAATGTGCAGATTTGGTGGGGCAAAGTTGTGCCTTTGCACTGCTGTTACCTTGGGCAAAGTAGTGTAAAGTGGTGGGTTGGTTCTACCCTCTGGCAGCCTGGTTCTGCAGAAGCGGAGCAAGTGTAGAGTGGGGAACATTACAACATAGCCTTGTTGGTGTACTGGGAATGGGACCAAGTGTTGGGCATTGGTAGAAGAATTACGTGCTCTTTTTAGCCAGTGTGCCACATTGCTCATATATGGCGTATGAAATGTAGTGTTTTGAGAGCTGAAAAAGGATGTACGTTTCTCTTACGCTTTCTCATAGTCAAAAAGTCAAGAGAGGTCTCTAGGCAATGACTTCAAAATTATTGCTGTCATTTAAGCTGCGTAGCACTGGGTCAAGAGCTGAACAGGACCCAGCGTGTTACACTGAGGTGCATGAATGTGTAGCCATTACAGTGGCCGAATAAACAAGGTTACAGTTATTACGAGGGAACACATACCCTTCGTGGAGTATAATCTGTTTGTAGAGTGCTGAGACGAGAAATGATCCTTGTGATGTCTGTTCTATAACTACACACAATGGCATAATGTCTGCATCTCACATGTGGAAGCCTGATCAGACCACAAGTCTCCCTGTACAGCAGACTTATTCCCAGATCTCTGCCATAAAACCTTTCTCTCCCAGCTGTAGCAAATTCTGCTCACTGGTGCATAATGTTTATAGTCATCTTATTCATGTGTTGTCCAACAGGTACACCCAGACTACAAGGAAACAGAACTCCCTGTGGTAAGTTCCCAAATAACCTGTGGGCTTGCATTGGATCATGTTTCTGAAAATCTCCAGAAGTAATGTTCCTTTGAGTACAAAAAATCATAGGTGATGAGTAAACTTGGAGTGAAGGTAGCAATCTCTGTGCTTCCTCTGAGGTACAGGGTTTGGCTGTATCTTAAGGACCTCCAGTGTTGCAAAGGTTGGGTATTGAAAGGTTTGGGCCCACTGGTAGGAGAGAATATATAGCAAAGAATCTGGATTGTTGATTGTTGTTTTGAGGGTAAAAAGAGTATGGTGGGACTCAGACTATGTGCACTGCTTGATTTCTTCCTAACAGTGAGTAACGTCCCAAGGGCAGTCTAGAAAGCCTCTTGGATTAATTACTCGGGGTATCCTGGTTCTGCACTAGCCAGCAACAGCATGTGGGGATGCAGAAGATGACCCATCACTTCAGCCTCTGAGTTTTTCTCTTTAGGTAATGCACCAAAATTTCCCGGTGTCTAAAGTGCCCAATAACGCCAGCTGCACAAAGCAGTCGGGTGGCTCCGCTCCTGAGCTACAGCAGGCCCTCTCCGCTAGCGAGAGGCAGTGTGTAGAGACGGTTGTCAACATGGGGTACTCGCCTGAGAACGTCCTGAAAGCCATGAAGAAGAAGGGACAGAACATAGACCAGGTAAGAGCTTGTGTAGCTGGAAAGAAGCCCTTGATTGGATGCTGATTCTGCTGAGAAACAACCTTGGGTTTGCAAAATGGATAGGGAGGAATACTTTTATTCTAACAGGGGGTTGCAGCCTGTAGCTGCTGCAATATTAACTATTGCAGAGGTTGTCACCTGGCAGTAAAGGCTCTCAAAACCAAAGAAAAGAGTGTCTGAGCCTGTTTCTGATGAGACTGCTTGAGTCAGACACACTTGTGGGTGCTGGGTCGGAGCTGCGCTGAGCTTGGGATAGGCCCTTGCCTCCACGTAAATCTGGAGGAGGTATTGGGTCTTCCCAGGAACCACAAAACCATTGAAGGAAGCTTACTGTGGCTCTATGCCATGCTTAGTGCCATGTGACTTAAAAAACAGCCTACTTCCCTTGTTCTGAGCACAAGGGGTTATGATGCTGACGTCTCTCCTTGTAGAGAGATTGGCCCCTGCAGGCTTATGACAGCCCTGGTGCTCACAAGGCACCACTGACCGACTTTCTTTTGTGCGCCCTGGTTGTGGTGCTTCCTTCCTCCTGCGTTGCCTCAAACGCTTGCTAAAACCAGGTCACAGAGCATAAAGTGCTGCCGGGTGAAGCGTGGCTCTGGGTCTTGGATCCACTTCAAACAAACATTTTGAAGCAGGGAGAGTGTGGCCAAACTTTCCATGGTGACCCTGGGCAGGCTGTGTGCTACACAGAGCATCGCCTGGTGCGACTGTGCCTGGGGAGGAGTGTCCCACGGACTTCTGCTTGTGGAGCTGATCTGCTTGCACAATACCTACGCATCAAGAGGGGTTTAAGCTGTGTACTGGAGTATCAAATGGAAAAAATGTCACTTAGAATGGCAGTTTTAAATCCTGCTATATTTGCAGGCTGTGTTCTTTTGCCTTCCTAGCGTTACCTATCTGACCCTTCCCTGTACCTCTCAAAGCTGAGGATGGATAAGAAATTTGGCAGTGGTTTCTGGGCGTGTGAGCTGGGAAATGCAGCTCACGCAACAGTATGCTGAGTTGATCTTAAAAGGCTGACTGCTTTCGGATTGCATCAGCTCTTGTGGCTGTCTGAGAGGAAGCTAAAAGCTGACACATCTTGACTGCTGGACCTACAGTTTCATTTTAAAACTTGTAATATAAAAAGCACAGTTTAAACTTCTGCCTTCTGCTCAGTGATCAGGCACGGAAGGCTAAAGATAGGCTTCTGAGGCTGTTTTGACTAGAGTGGAAGATGATGTTCAGAGCTGGTGGGAGAGCACAGGAGGTCAGAAAGGCTCATCTGTTTTCTCAGAACCAGCTCTTACATAAAGAGCGTCTCAACCCTACTAGGAAGGACTTTATCTCGGTTCCTGGTGAAGCCTGGGGTAGCGTTGTGCATGGCCTCTCTGCGAGTGCAGAGACGGTACTCAAACACGTGCTGCAAATGCCACTCTGCAAACTTAGTCTCTTTTCTTCGTTCCCTACAGGTTTTGGATTACCTGTTTGCACACGGACAGCTTTGTGAGAAGGGCTTTGATCCACTTCTTGTTGAAGCAGCTTTGGAAATGCACCAGTGTTCAGAGGAGAAGGTGAGGGCGCAACGTGCTAAGCAATAGAGAGAATGCACCATGATGGGGAATTCCAACAGCAGATCCTCTGGCTGATGTAATTCTGGCTTTCGTGGCAATGCCGCCTTGTTTCCAAAACTGACCACCAAAGGATATCTTTGCAGTGATAAAGCAAATATGTGTTAAAGCATTAGAATTCTTCTGCATTATTTTATTATTGTCACTTGCATGCATTTTTATGGGGACAGGATTTTTTTAAAGAACCTGCTTATTGTGGTTGTAACATTTTGAACCCAGAGTTCTCTTGTGGGTGAGGTGCTTGGTACAGAGACACTTAATTTCAGAAGCAGCAAATTATCTTTCAAACCCTGCCAGCCTGCCCTGGCTGTGAATTTTCTCCCTTGTACAGACACATCTGCCTGGCTGCTCAGCAAAGTGGGTTAGGGCTCACTCTGGAAGAAGTTGGAAAATACAGTTTTTGGAGTCTGGTTCACTGTCTGGCTGCTTTACCAGCACCAAAAGTACAGAGGCAGAAGCAGGTAGCCAGGGCAGAGGACAGCAGGGTCTTTTAAAGTTTGACAGCCTGTTGTGTGCCAGGTTACTGTTTGAAATTTTTAGAGGTGCAACCCAACCCCCCCAGACATATATATGCCTTCCTGCCTTTTGTGGACTTAGTGATGACCTTGCAAAAAGAGGAACAATAGTGTGAAGACAGGAGAAGTGACTGAGTTCAGGCAACACTTTTGCTACTGGCTTAACCCCAAAATTGGAAATGGCTAATCTCCTGATTGCCCATTTCAACCTGCTTTCTACTTTTGGAGTTTTTCTTTCCCCTGGAGTAGAGGCACTGTAAATGGCAGAGGGTTCATAAAAGTCTGTTTCACTTCTTGTCACTTTATTTTTTCAAAGCTCAGGAAGGATTTGTGGTTGATGTTGGTAGTATCACACACAGTGTGTCCAGTAGGGTTTGTGCTAATCTCCCATGTTTGCCCTACATCTGAAGAGCCAGTTGATGGCAAGGGCTACTGTACTGTTCCAAGAGTGAAAGTAACTTTAAAAAAATTCAGATACAACAGGAGGTGCTGGATGGGGGAGTGAGGTGCCATTAATCAGCATTTTTGGGAGCCCAAAATGGGCTAGGCTGATAAATTTCCTACTGGGAGAGAGAGAGACCCCAACAGAGTGAGCTTTGGTGCCCTTGCTGAAGAGGATTTTGGAAATGCAGGACTGCAAACACAAGGCACTGAAGGTGGGGCTTTGTGGGCTACTTCACCCAGAGCTCTGCCAGCTCTGGTGCGAGTGGACTTTCTCCAAACAGAGCTGGAACGGGCTGTACCCACCCCATGGGGTGCCCAGTCGCTGAAGACTGGCTCTGTGCTAAACCTCCACCAGGCACTGATCTTTTGGAAATAATGGGCTGTCTGTGTCTTTCAGATCACAGAACTTCTCCAACTAATGAGTCAATTTAAAGAAATGGGCTTTGAACTGAAAGACATTAAGGAGGTCTTATTATTGCATAACAACGACCAACACAATGCTTTGGAAGATCTAATGGCCCGTGCAGGAGCCAGCTGAAGACACATTCCTGGATGCTCAGAGTGCAACGGAGCAGGACCAGTCCCGCCACCTTCACCAGTGTGAATTGCTCGCCACAGGAAGGAGTCCGGCTTTTCGCATACAAGGGAGAGCGACTGAGCAAGCCCGTCCGCGTGCATCACTCCAGCATTTCTCTTTCCACTGAGAGCCAACTTTCTTTCTTAAATTAAATTTTTGAAGTGTCCTTTCCTAAGTTTCCTTTTTCCAGCTTGGCCACGGAGAGTTTAGAATGCCCAACCTCTACTCTAACATTGTACATAGGTAGAGACGGGAGTGGTTTCCCCCCTCACTGTTGCACTGGAGTTGGACAGAAGAATACTAAGTTGGTTATGAAACTAGGATGCTTTGGTTCTTTGAAGCTGCTTTCATGGTGTCTGCTTGTACTGAATTACTTGACTGTGGCACAGCCCAGATTAACTGGTTAAATTTGACCTTTAGTGCAATGGAGTTTTATTTTTTGGTTGAAAGTTAGTCTGTAACTTAGTAAAACACTGGTTCAGAAACTGTCGCTATGCATAAAGAGAGAAGCTGTTCCTCTTGTGGTTTTTTTGGTTTTTTTTACCCATGCATCCAACACTTCTGCCAGACATGAGCATCCAATGCCGAGTGGTGTGTAAGTTCTCTTGAAACAGGTAAACTGTGAACTCTACCTGGACCTGCAAATTGTGTTGGTTCTTGAACCTGAAGGCAGAGAGCTGGGGCTCAGTATTCTTAATCCCCCAGGCTTGTAGGATATTTAAGACCATGCCCTGCTAGGAAATCATTTATCTTTTTGTTTTAAATAATACTCAGTGTGGTGCAGGAGGTTTCTTTCAAGCACTTTCTTTAAAACAAATATACTCACTGCATTAGTTCCATTTCTCACACTGCTATAGATTTACATAAGAACATCTAGTACTAGAAATCAGGTTTTGGGTTGTTTTTGATAGTTCCAAGTATTACATTGTACATTGTTCAAGTTCTAAATATAAATATCAGCAGTCTTGAGGAATCTTTAAAGCAATTTGCTAAATATTTTGATTCTGCAGAAGAACAACTAATAAAACCCTCGAATTTAACTCCCAGTGTCATGGTTCCCATCTCTCACGCTCTTTGGCTTCAGCAGATGAAGAACCTGCTGGATCTTGCCTGCCCAGGTGCTGCCTGCTCCCGTAGGCACTTGTGGACACTGTGTTGGGCAGAGCGGCCAGAGGTCTCCAGGCAGGCGGCTGCAGTTGTGGAATGTGCTGCATTTTTTCTGTGGCTTGTTTCTGTTTTGTTGCAAAAAACAAGCCTAGGGATCCAAGTTCATGTCACAGCATGGAGCTGGGAGCACTGGGCTTCAGGCAGGGAGAATAGCTCAGCTTGTTGCCTCCCTTTAGGCTTTTCAGTAGGAGCTTTTAGCTCATTAGGACCCTGAAGGAGATGGCATTTGTATCCATTATATTGTTAACTTTATATGACCAAAACATCTAACTTTGGACCAGTGTTAATTCCTGGAATTTTCTGTGAGGTGCTCAAATATGTTACACACCTTTACTCAAAATGATGCTGAGGAGAGATGTAGCTGGCAAGTATCTGGGAGATGTGGAGATGGATGATGATAAGGTTTCTGGATTTATGTCACAGGGTGGCTGAAGGCTGGAAGCATGTTTCTGGGGCAGCTTCTCACAAAAGGGAAGACCATGAAGAGGGGATTAACTGGGTGGCATAGGGGAGAGGCGTTTCTGACAAAACGTGTAACAAGTGACATCATGTGATGAGATTTGAATGTTGTGTTGGGCACTGTGCATCAGTAGTGACTCTGGTACTGTTGTTCTTGCCTGTCAAGTTACAAACAAAGCTCAGCCTGGAGGTGGGGAGGTCCTGCTGATGGCTGGTACGAGGCTGGGCTCTGCCCTGCTGCTAGCTGGTGAGATGACTGTGTCCCCAGTCACACTTGAGACCTTAGAGCTTTTCCCTGGGTTCTCAGGCCAGATTGATTTGTGTACTTGGTTCTTGGCACTATAACTTTGTCAGAAGTTGTTCTGCTGTCTTCTGCTAGCTTCTGCCAGATACAGAGGTCTGGGTCCCTTGGTGAAGAGGCTTGTGGGGAGAAGCGTAGAAGCAGAACTGAAACTGGCAATTGTGCTTTGAACCAGAGACCTCCTGAGCTGCCTCCTGATGGTTCTGGACAGCAGCAGCCTGGTAAGGGCTCTGATGGAGATCCAGTGTTGGCAGCTTGGCTGCACAGCATGTGGCTGGGCAGCTCTCCATGCTGGGGAGACCGACGGCTTCTGCTGGTGGTGCAGCAAAACCTCGCACAAGGGTCGTTCTGCTGCTGCCGCCACGGGCTGTTCAGGTCAGCCACATGTGGCTGGAGGACAGCGTCTGAAACACCAGCTATGTCAGCAGGCAGGGTCAGAAGGGGATCTCGTACCAATTCCCAGCCCCAGTTAATCTTTTGCAATCAAACAAACAGGCGTTTTGATCATGTTTACTTTAAAACAAATTTTACTGGAGTTCTGTAGTAAATTGAATTTTATTTTAAATAATGTCAGTTATTCAAATAAAATATCAAGCATCTGCCATGAGCATTAATAGTCTTTGTTGCACCTGAGTATCAAAGTGAACGCATTTTAGTTCTGTGTTTATTTGATTGTACTTGGCCAGGCTCTCTTAATCTCTCACACTGCTGGAACGACAAACACTTTCACATAATGCTCCTCAAGTTGAAGCGAAAAACGTTCATATCAGGTGTCAGTGCCATATCAAACAGCAGGAAGGGGACAACACTTTAAAAATGCTCCTTTAGCACATTTTCACACAAGAATTAAAGCAGCATCTAGGTAATAACCTAACAGTGGCGAGACGAACATTACTGGTTTTGACAATGGTGTTGGTACTTGCCGTTGTGCACTAGAAGCCCAGTTTTGGTATCTCCTGGGTGCGCAGCACTTCAAGCATGTCTGTAGTCCTGTTATTGCCAAGGATGGGTGGATTTTCAGAGCCAGGGCTGGTTTTTTGGGTTTTTTTGTTTTTTTTTTTTAATTTTTATTTTAGTCAAGTCTCATATTCAGTAGGGAAAAATAAAATTCTGAGAACAGACTGATAATAAAATCATACATTTAACAAGATAGAGTCTCATGGATTGGCTGGATAGCTTCAGTTTATATAAAGGTTATCAGACCTTGGAAAACTGCTGCGCTGCTGTTGTTCTGTTTATGTGTTGTTTCTCAGTGTTCCTGGCCATTCCTCCAGGGAGCAAATAGTTCCTGCTCTGGGAACTTGCACTGAGGCTCGGATCTGACAGACAGACTTGTCTTTTTCACAGGACTTGGAGGTGGCTCAAATTTGGTAGCTGACTTTCACTCCCATCTCTGCTGTTCATGGAAGCTTTTGGTCACTCATCTGTTTTGTTACAACTACCTTTGAAGCTACCAAGGTTAGAACATGGCACTATTGGTTGTGTGAATGGTGTGTTGATTTAGAAATGGCCAGCTTGGGTAAGAGACTGAAAATGCCTGTGAATATACTTTGCTGATCTGATCTGAAAGTAAAACTGAAAGTACAATCACCTATACTCATCTCTCAAATGTCAGAGTACGGAGGGGAAGTTTTCCTCCCTAGCACTGTGTTACTGGCTGGGCATCTCATTTTCCTGTGACCTGTCCTGTGCATACATCCTACGGCCCAACCTTTTCCTCTGCTCCAAAGTTGCAAAACTCAGCACCTGCCCAGTAGCCCTGTTTTCCGTACGCTTGCTGAGGAAGTGCTGGGGAAACCACTGTAAGGGTAAAGCTCTCCCTGGCCCCAGGAGGTGGAGGGAGGCTTTCTAAGAGTTGTTTGGTTTAAAGGGGATCTCAGTTTAACACCTGCTCTTCCTTCCATGGTTTTAACAAGATGCTGGGTGTCCCGCTGCTTTATAGCTCTGTGGTGGCTGTCAGCACCACTGCTCCACACTGTGCACAAATACCAAAATACCACTGACTAAGAGTCTTGCCCCTGGAAGCCTCGTTTCTCTGGGCCAGGAAAGCTTCTGAACAGCGGGCTGGGGGACCTGGGTTCAGGTGTGACTTGCTGCTGGCCCATAAGCTGGACACAGGAACCATCTTGAGAGCCGTAAACTCAAACCCCGGAGGGACTTTGCGCTCTGCTCCACAGTGTAATCCAGTCCCAAGTGCAAGATGGAGACTAACAAGTGCTAAAAAAAATCCACAGCAGTCAGGGCACCAATGGAGCCTTTTCTTCTGCTACGAGTAGTCCCCCTGCAATTCTGTTCCCCAGGGCTATGCTGTGTGACATTCCTGGGAGTGTTTGCACCAAACATGCAACCCAGATAACAGTGTCACTGCAATTCCTATATTGCTGCTTGGCCAAACCTGGGCTGTAGAAGCAGGCAGTAAAATTCACAGCTGGTCAGACAGCCGTGTTCCCTTACCCTTGGAATTTCTGGCTACTAAGCAGGCTTTCACTGAGCTACTACAGGCATTACTGAGGAGACACTGAGATGGCTGAATGTGCTGCAGCAGCCCTAATTCTGGAGTGGGAGTGCTTGCACAGCACGTTGTCAGCTGGGCTTGTTTTAAGGTCACTTGTGGCTTCAGCAAGTGGATTTAGTTTGTGGTTCCGATGTGATGCATGCCGCACCAGAGCTTTTGCAGGGCTGCAGCTGATCATTCTATAGTTCTTGATTCAAATACCAGCTTCACATAACAGCACTGTTAGCAGCTTCTGAAATCCCACTGCTTCGAACCAGACCCTCTTTTGATGTGAAAAATCAATTCTGTCAATGCAATGAGCACTCTACAGCTGTGCCATAATGCAGAGATCAGACATCGTTTGTAGTGGGTAAGCTGTTGGCTTCTCACTGTTGGCAACAGGATGAAACCCACATGCTTCCCATGCTAGATAAACCTTTGGTACAAAGTCCCTACTGAAACACTCATTACCCATGACTTAAGCCACCTCTTTCAGGAGCTCTGGAGTGTTCATCCCAAGCGAAGAACAAATGTGACGATAGCCTTCCTTCTTCTGAAAGCAGCAGCACTTCTTGCCTTGCCTTGACTTCCGTTTACTCATGATCTAGTTATGTTAGTGTACTTAGCAAACAGTGGCTCCTCTCTCTTTCCTGGCTTCTGTTTGCAAACACTTTTCTGGATAGCTTTTGAGCATTTCTGTTCAGACCTGTGTCTGGCTTCAAAGTGTTTTTTTCTTTCCTCCTCATTCTCTTGGCAACACAGAAGTGCCTTTAACATGTGAGAAGCTGGTATGAATGCTGTGGACAGTACTGCCTGCTGCTTGGTGAGATATTTAAAGGCTGCTGAATTGTTTTTCATAAGAACATGGCTTACTGGTATTGAGGAAATGCAAAAGCTTGTGGTGCCAAATAGTCATCTCATTTACTCAGAATTCTCTGCATCGTTATCTAAAATACACACTAATGACAAACATCAAAACAAAAGCTATCCCCTACCCACCCCAAACTCTGCAGCACCAAGTGTGGCGGAACACTGGCTGGCTGTTTCCATAGCTGAGCTTGTGCATGTATGAGCAAAGAAGGTCTAAACTGGTGGAGGTGTTTGCAGGGACATGTCAGTGCCAGCAGGGGCTAAATAGAGCTGAAGCTGAGCTCTCATTGTTTGGATACACTTCGACTTCAGTACCAAGATTTCATCCAGCTTGGTCATGAAATTCTGAAAATCCTGGTGAGGAAGGCAAAAGGAAAGTTTAAAGAACAACAGTAGCAGCAGGTTGGATTAAAAAAAAAAAATCAGCAAAATTTTGGCACTGCAGCAGTACATAAAAGTATGCTCTCCATTCTGCAGTGTAGTAGATTAAATCAGTGTTTCCGTATTAAAGTCCCTCACAAAGGTCAATGCCTCTAAATACTGAGGTTAACTTACTCCAGTAGTTTTATCTGTTAGTGACATTACAGCTAATACAATGGTTTAAAAACATATAAAGCACCTGTTCTCACCCTTCTACATGGGTTAGATTTTCAGAGGTTTGGTACAGAGACTGGTCATCTGATGTGCAGTTTTATGACGTACTGAACTCTGTTCCTGACACCTCACATGCTGGATCTAGTAATCATTAAAGTAAATGGTGAGCTGGGCCACTCATTGATCAGACAGCCCATTCCTGGGAGATGGAAGTGATTATTTTACATCAGGTCACAGGGCCAGTCCCCCTCCTTGCATGGCGACTGGCCTGCTAGGTCTGACATGAGAAATATCAGCAGTGTACATAGCCACAGCCAAGGGGAACTCTACCTTCCATAGCAACCTGCCACACAGATAAAAAGTGACGTGAAACCATGATTGAAACTGAAATGGAGGCAGTTATTTTTAAGTAGGGCTTGTATTAAAGGAGGAGCACTCAAACTTGTGCTGCTTTCCAGCTGAGAGCAGCGTTTGGTGCCTCTGTTCGCAGTTCAATGTCTAAGAGGCTGCAAGGTGTCACCATCCTCAGGGCTAGGGACCTCAACTGCCACTGCATGAAAATCAATCATTCAAAAGCTTATTTGGCAGGACTCCACCTATCTCATGCACTGTATCTTTGTCTTGCAGGGACATCAGGACTGTAATGAAGACCAGCCCAGCTACTGTGGCATATTTTTCTTTAGCGCTTTAAATACTGTTTGGTTCAGTATGTGGCTGGTCTTGGCAGGAGTCTCTCCTGCGGCCAAAGTTTCATGGCTGGAGAAGTTGCAAGCATCTGAAAGTGGAAAGAGAGAAACTGATATGAAATCAGTCCAAGCTGATTTCATTGCCCAAAGAAAGGTCATGCTGTGAAATAACACTACAGGATATATTGTAAGTTATTCACACACTGCTGGGAGGCCTGGCAAGCTTGTCATAATTCTGCTAGGCAGAAAATGATTGCTTGCTGCAAGGGGCAAATAAATATGGGGCAGCACTGGTGTCCAATGACCAACAAACTTAGGAAGAACAATCTCAAAAGACTTAAAAAAATGAAAAGATTGCTTTCTACCGCTACATTCTCTGCCACAAAACTAATACAGTTTATGGCTCTCGTGCTGCTTTGCGAACTTCTATCTGTTATCTGGTAACCTGTCACATGCAGCTGGGAATCACAGCAAATAAGCCACATGGTGGCTCCATTCTGAAATCCCTGAATCAAGAGTCCCTGTAGCTGTACTTCAGATTGGAACCGTGATAGGAATGAAAATGGTTTGATAATGTAATGCAGTAATGGAGCTTGGGTTTACTGATGAGAAGAGGAAACTGGGAAGGCAGGAGATTCTGACTGGGAAATGTTAATAGTCTGGGTGAGAGATGAGACTTCTCACACAGCTGTGACATGCATCTATCTGGATGCAGGAGAAACAGAGAACTGGGATTGCCTGGCTAGTGGTGAGGCCATGCAGGTGTCAGTCTTCAGGTCTAGCCTGCACTGCTGCCGTCCAAGACAAGGATCAGCCAAGAAACACGTGAGTGACAGAGGTCAAGAGCCTGTGAGGGCACAAGTGACAATGGCTAGAGCACTGGAGTGAGCAGGGCCAGGGGTTGGCACATCTGCAGTGTGATAAGCAAGGGACTCCCAGAAGGAAGAGACAACGTGGCACTACGCCACCAACTGCAACATCCCACTGTCATGCTGTAGGGTTGTGCTGTTTTCTGTGGTATTGACTTACTTGCTCCAGCCTGTAAGGAGAAAAATGTCACATGGAAAGATGCCCTGTTTAGTACAGTCTGGTACCAATGATGCAGGACAAGAGAAAGCTGTTTTATCATAGACAAGCAGTTCAGAGCTGGGCCATCTGTCTCCTTCTTCCCCAAGGACCTGGCAGCATGGAGACCGGCAAAGACACAACAGGTACTGAAAATAAGCAGCCTCTCCTAGGACTCAACAAGGCATCAGAGAATGAGGAAGAACTGACAAGAAATGTCACATCACTAATTCAAGTTAATAATCTCTAAGATTAATTTATGCAAGTTCAATGGGCACTGAAATGATCATCTGAAACACTTACCATTGCTGACATCTGATTTATCAAGCACTCTTCCTTGAAGCACAAGGATGCCATTTCATCCAGCTGCTGCCGATGGGCCCGAATTACAGCCTGTCTGATTAACATAAAATATACCACTGATTACACAGCTTGCTGTGCTACCTATAATTACTGTTGGTCTCAGTAAACCTTTAAGGAGGAGGAATACCCCAGAGGAACCCTTGCTGTCCTGTGTCCCTGGCATTCAGAAAGCGTACAGCAGTGCTCCTTGAAGTGCAGCGGACTGCACTGGTTTGGGGTTAAAGATGACTTTAATGACTGAGGACTGCTCAGAGAGGAGTGACCACAGCCCTTCATTAACATAGGCAGCACAGGGGCACACATTGCTTTTTACCATAGGGAAATCTAGGAGCAAAAAAATTGTGTAATTAAGTGGTGAAATGGCTTACAACCATGAGGCTGTAAGTCATTTTGGTGAAAAACAGGCAGAGTGGTAAGGTAGTGCTGCTGTTCATTCCTCTGAGCAAGTTTCTCTGACCAACAACATATTTTCAGTCACGTGAATACAGTTCAGTCCTTGGGAGCTGACACTGGCAGCTCACAGTACTCTGAAGCTTTACATCTACATCTTCAGTGACTACTCAGCCGCTCTAGCTGTTTTTCCTTCCATAGGGATGGAACCAGTATCACCTGCTTCTTGATGGGAGGTTTTGATGTATTTTAGGTACTTCACAGCTTATAGGAAGCTAATTAGTTACCGAGAACTGCCATTTGTATCATAATATCAATTCCTTTAGCATTATCCTAGGAAGCTCTAATAGAATAATTGGCTTCCTGTGAGATTTTAAAATATTACTCAATAACAAGCAATCATATATTTATAAGATAATGACTATAAATCATTATTAATCTTATTAAATAATTATTTCATAGATTGATTTTGCATCGGTTTTTAAAGTACATACAAGTACGATGTACAAATAAAGGCAAATGCATCACATTTCTAGAATTTCTAAGCTTTGTGACAAACTTCAGTGACAACCAAGACTTACTGAGCCTTTTGTAGGTCTTCCCTCTCCCATTTTCCTGTCTCTGATGTAACACTTGGAGAGCTGCTGCTGGACATGCCTGAGGGGCTCTTTGCATTTGTTAATGGCTTATTATCTTTGGTTGCAGATCCTGAATCCGCAGCAAAGGTCTCTTGTGTAAGATTACTCTGCATTAACTTGTTTTTTAGCAAACCTATTTCCTCATTGCTGAACGATGACTTAGCTGGGTCTTCAGAATGACTGAAGTCCTCATTCCTCAGTGCTGACTTGGGCTGTAACAGCAGGCTGCTTTCTTGAGAGGGAGACTGGACTGCGTAATCTATATTTCCCACACTGAGAAAGCATGGTGCACCTAAAAAGTAGCTCTTTTCAGGTATATCTGCATTCATTTCTTGAGCCATGAGCTCAGCACTGGGTCCTTGATTGGAGTTAGATTTTCCTGAATTACCAGTACTGTCTTTAACATCAGCATCACACTGTCTACCACCTGAGTATTCTTTGCATGTTGAGTTACTCAGAAACAAACCACCTTCTCTCTCTCCCCTGGAGCCCGTGAATTCAGCTGTGGATGTTTCTGTCAGGTCATGTCCAACAAATAAACTGTGAACAACTCCTTGCTTTGATGAACCTGAGCCTAGAAGGCAGCAGCATGTCTTCACATCACAGCAGTGCGGTGAAAGCCACTTGTCCCCCGTTTGTGGGGAATGCAGCTGGGTGCAGTGTCTTCCACCACGACGCACTTGCTCCCCTAGTTCCAGCATGCTGTCCGTCAGAGCTCTGCTTCTCGTACACTGCCAGCTTTCTTCCTCAAACCTGTTCTGGGAGCCATGCATGTTCCTGTCTGACATCTGCTTTACACGGGGGCACTTCTCTTGGTTAGACGACACTGTCTCTGTATCAGTTGTTTCCTCATAATCAAGAAGGGTTACTGTGAGAGGGGCCGTTAGCTCAGAAGGGAATTCTGAGGAACAAATGGAGTTAACCATTGTGGATCTTCCAGTTTTTCGAGCTTTCCACTTTACATCTCCTGCAAGGGCAGTCTGTCTATCCAAAGTGGATTCTTCCTTCTCTTCATGGTGGAGGTCAATTTCTTTGCACTCTGTAGTTCCCGATTTCAGTACAGAAGAAACATATGAGTTTGAAGGATCCTTTTCTGGAGTTAAGGTGGCTTCACTGGAGTAAACAAGACATCTGTGCTTGGATTTGTACTGTTTGTGATCAGGTAGGAAATCTTTGCCATTTTTCCAGTTACAAGCAGGATCGTCTTGCAGGCAGTAAGGTTTTTCTGCAGTATTGCTTGAAGAGGACTCAATAGTTAAGTCATAGCTCCAGTCTGATGGAGTTTTGCTGCAGCCTGCATTTTTAACAGATTCCTCTGGTTTTGGGCTCCCCTTACTACAATCCCAGCTGTCATCTAGTTCATGTTCTTGTGTGGGTGTTGAATATTTAAAAAATAAATCCTGTCGCTTTTGGCCATTTTCCTCTTCTTCAGTTCCTTGTTCTCTCTGATGAAGGAAAAATGAATGTTGACTGCATTTGTCGGTGTTGCTTCTTTTCACACTCTTTTGACTGCAGACAGGTGAAAAAGAATCTTCACTGAAATCACTGTCATCCAGATCTTCCAGCTGCATCACCTCTTTGCTCTGTACTTCTGTACGAGTAAGGCTCAGTTCCTGCTTCACTTGAATCTCTTGGGGCTTGTATTGCATTAAAAACGTCTCAAGAGGCTGATAGTTCAATTTTTGCTGTAGAATAGGTGGCTGCTGAAACTGCTGGTGATAAAGACGTAAATGCTCTTCCCTTTCCTTCTGAAATGGAGGCAGATTTGTCCAGGTTCCAACACACTGTTTAGCAAAGGTGTTTCCCCATTCCTGTCTGCTGGCAGAAGGCAGATTTCCATCCCCAAAGGAAAAATCATCTCTAGAAACAAGCTGTTTCTGAACAGGTTGCACTGTCTGGACTTTCAGGCACTGGACAGGTGGTCTGTCTTGCATACACTTGTCTCTCTGGCCATTCTCTTTTGTTTCTGCTGTGGCAGCATTTTTGATGATGAAGTCCTTTGCAGTGGGGTTCTTTTCAGAGTTGGGGGACAGATCATCAGTTTTCTTCCTCAGGGGATGGGTTAGCCGTAGGACTCCCTTAACTGGGCTAGTGTGGTGGAACCATGGTGAGTTGGGGTTTCCTTTGTAGGCATGTCCTTTGTTGATTCCCCTGGGGGTAGAGGTAAAAGGGACACTTGGTGGCTGGAGTGCTGCAGGACATGCCTTTGTTTTTGTAGCGTTTGATGGATGCTGGAGGCCTAGCTTCACTTTCTTTGGAGAGCTCTTTTCACCAGGTGGCAAAGAGGAAGAGTTTTGGACGCGTTTTGGAGATACATTTCCAGCTGTTCGATGCCTGTTTGTGACAGGGGTAGAACATTTCATCCCTTTCTTCAGCTCTTTGACCCTGTAAACGAAGCTGGCTTTAGAAGATGTCATGCCTTCAAATAAATAACAGTGTCTTCACAACAAACTAATGCTTTCACATATTAAGGCTAAACACTGAATTCAACATCATGATCACATGAGCACATCATAGAGTCCCAACAAGGCACAAGCTAGGGTTTTTGGAGTAGTTGTAGTGGGGCCAGTTAGTGCAGGTGATATGTGTACAGAGCTACAGTGCTCTGAATCAGACTCATCCTTGCAACTGTGAAGAGCTGTGTACGCGGTATCACCCTATCCCCTCAACTGTTTCCTTTACCTCTGAAGCGTCTCTTGTCCTCTTAACCCCAGCACTGCACAACCTGTAATTTACCTCCTCCTCTGTAGGAGGGAGGGTAAAGGACTTGCACACATTCTAGGCAGAACTAGAACACAAAACTAAACCAAAACTTTTGATTGCTGAGGTTAGTAATCCTGGAGTTACAGGGAGTACAGTGATATTTTCATCACTAAAAGCTGTCATCAGAAAGGATTTACAAGACCCAGAGAATTTCAAGACCAAATATGAGAGTTGGAATATGTAAGGATTTTATTTGCATTGTGAAATTGTGTCTCTTACCTAAATCAACATTTCCAATGCAACCAAAATAAAATGTAACCACAAACATCATACATTACATTTTTCTTTGTGTTTTTCACCTTGGCAAGACTGAGCTTCATCACCTACCTGTCAGCATATCGTAAAGTGTTCAGGGTATGCTCTGTAGCTATGTGGCTAGGTGATACATTGGCTATCATACACGTCTTGGAATTGCCAATGAAAGAATCCTTTAGCACCTAGGTTTGGAAGGAAAAAAAATAAGATTCTTAGCAATTCATGTACCTTTTATTTCCTGTAAACTACCAATGTGTACAAAGGCAGTTCAACATGAGTCAGGTGATGCAGTTACCTTTTATTTCCTGTAAATTAGCAACATATACAGAGGCAGTTTAACCCGAGTCAGGTGATGCACAGTTACTGTCTCCTCTTCTTTTTTTTTTTTTTTTTTTTAAGGTAGTTCTGTTGTTTCAATTCTTTGTTTACAATTTAAAATGAATATGAGTGTTAATCAGGGCTCTGAACAAGCCTGTGTCACAAAGGTGCCCATATGTTTTGAAGAATAAAGCATATGTCACAACTGGAGCGAAAAAATGTTGATGAAATCTCCCATGACTGTTACTGCATAGAAGATGCAAGATTGGTTGCAGAGTGGGTGGAGATGGATGGTAACTGAATGAGTCTGGAAGGCAGAGTTTGGAGTTTCTGTTTGGTTTTAGGTTTTGGGTTATTTAGTTTTCACCATGCCAGTACCCATGGGGGGAACTGGCAGTTGGCCTTAATTCTGTGATTATCTTTAAAAATTAATGTTTGCAAAAGTTACGCGTTTCTCTTTTCTTCAAGAGTTTAATAGCAGTTAACGAATTATGCCTTTTTAAAAAAATATTATTATTTTTATTTAGTCCTCATCAGGGAAAGCTCTACTGTTGCTTTTCTGTGGGTTTTACCTGAGTTAATTTGCTTTGCCGGAAAGGAGTATGTGCATGTTCCTGATCCAACGCCCGAATGCATTCCTTTAGCTACCAAAAACAAAAAATACAAAAACATATAGGGAAAAACATATCAATCACACACTGGAAAGGAAGCGAATTGCATCAAAACTAATGTACGAATGTACTATTTCCTTCATGCACCTTTGACTCCTATCTGATGTCCCTCACAAGGGGATTTTTTGCTGCCACAGCCACAAACGGCCAGCTTCAGCTAGCTCAGGTATCAGCAGCAGTTTAGCTGCACTCAAAGAGAGCAAAGCTGCAGCACAGAGCACAGCTAGCCCTGCCTGACAGCTCTGTGGGCTACACAAAACTCAGGAAGCTGGGTAAATACACGTGTTCAGCACACACATAGCTCCACACCACTGTGGACCTGCCACTGTCTGCACCATAGCTAACAAGTTTGAAGCCAGATTGGGTGTACACCAGACTATGCTGCAGCTTGCAGGACAGGTGTACCCCAGATTCATATACCTGTTACACCATGTGAACAGAGCTTTTTGAGCTCCAGCTCTTGTAAACGTCTTTCTTCCAAAAAAAGCTCTGCCCATTCTGAAATAAAACCAACACTTTGGACAACAGCAGTGCAAATTTTTTATGCCCCTCTGGCAATGTTTTCATGGCTTGGTGGGAGATAGCGTGAGCTCATAAGTGCATATTCCTCCCCATACTGACTATAATCTGCAGTCTAGATGTCTCATCTATGTGAAGGTACACCGGGCTGTGTTCAAAGGCAGCTGATCCCAAGCCATTTCCTCTTCACGCCAGTGTAACGTGCCAAACTCAGCTAAAGCGAAGAGCATGGACCAACACCAAACAATTAGCTGTGAGGAAAACTGGGTTTAAGCCCAGATTCAAGCCCACACTCAGAAGACAGTATGGATACAGCCTGTCTGTCTAAACAAACATGTCACTGTAACCTTTGATGGGCTAATAAGAACTATACACAAAACAGTGAGAATGAAGCAACAGACTGCCCACAGAGTGGAGATACAGCTACAGAGTTCCCATTAAAACTAACAGAACATGAGCAGCTAGCTACACCCACGGCTTTCACAGAACGCATCAGATCTTCTTGTTGTTAATAACCATCAACACAGGTAGCTAGTAGTATTGAGGAAACCTCCCTTGGTTTATTACCAGCCTTGGAAAAAGATGTCATATTTAAACTCAAAGATGTGCGCTTTTTTGCCATGTTTCCACTGGAATAAGTACAACAGCATCACGCTCCATATCAAGCCTGGGTGCTCTCAAAAACTGGCAGAAATGGACTGGATAGCCATGAGACAAGTCATTTAGAGCAAATATTGAAGGAAAAATAAGCAGATTACAGTATTGTCATGGTGATACTAGCATGAAGCAGCCTTTCTATGTTTAAAGCCTATCTACATTCTACATACACCCACTTAAAATGACACGCATTTCTCACTTTTACAGCATTTTATTAAAAATCACACCTCTAACAAGTAAGAGATTAAACTATTCTAATTTTTTATTCTGCTTCTCATAATTGCAGTATCTGAATATCTTCTGCTTGAAATCAACATGAATATTCAAACAGCAAACTTCAAACTTCCATGTGTTTTAAGGCATGAAGAGAGCATTATGATCACTGAGGGCAGAGCTAGGTTTTACAGGCTGCAGGTCATGTAGACTTACCCAAAGATGCCTTTTATAGTTTATATGCTTACTACTTGTAGACTGCCTAGGTATTTACTCAGCTTCACACAACACCAAAAAGACACACACACTGATTTTAAAGTTCCTTTTAAAAGAGTTTCATGAGCTTACATTAAGCCTCACTTCTCAGGGATCCTTTCTATTCAGGTTCTGACTCCTCATGCCACTCAGTTACTCACCAGCAAGTACTCAAGAAAGCATGAAGTCCAGAAACGCATTCATTTTACATGCTGTCTCCCAGTATGAATGCTAATATTCCAGAGCAGAAAAGCCTCTGTGCAAAAGAACATTCTACATTCTCAAAACAGAGCAAGCCACCACCCATTTACAGCACAGTACGTGGTACGGTTGTCTGCACTAACTTCTGCACTGTTGACTCATACTCATTGATTGCATGTAACCTTCAGTCTCACTTAGAGAAGCCCTCAGTGTCCTGGTTTCAGCTGGGATTGAGTCAATTTTCCTTCTAGTGGTTGCTGTGTTTCAGATTTGGTATGAAAGGAATGTCAATAATGCGTATTGCTTTAGTTGTTGCCAGGTGATGTTTTTATTTTTCAAGGACTTTTTTCCAGCTTCCCATGGAAGCCGAGAAGGAGCATAGACAGAACAATGGAATGGCAATGGAACGTCCCATACCATAGATGTCATGCTCCATATATAAACACGGTTAGCTGGGGGGTGAGTACTTGTGATCGCTGCTCAGGAAGGTAACAATTCACCAAGTGGTGAGAGTGACTTGTGTCATTATTATTGTTTTCCTTTTCTCTTATTGTTCTATTAAACTGTTTTTATCTCAACCCATGAAGTTTTTTTCCTTTACCTTTCCCCCTCCTTTTCTCCCTCTTCTCCCTACCCCTCTGGGGGATGGGGGAGAACTGTGTGAGCGTCTTCATGGTCCTAGCTGCCAGCTGGGGTTAAACCATGACACCCAGTCATCAGTGAGCTTTGCTCATTTGAATTAAAGGACATGCAAAGTCTTCTGCACAATTTATACTTAGAGGGACTTCTGCTTTATCTTAGACGGCATTTTTCTGCTCCTCGTCCCTCTTTATGTAACTGCGTACATTTATAAAAGACAGTTTGCGTTAAGAGTGTATTTCTTCCTGTTTCCTTCTCCCCACACACAAACTGCTAGTTTCTACGCTCTTGTGTATTAAATCCTTTACTCCTGATCTGAAAGAGAAGTCCGAGTTCAAGCAGTGAAAATAAGCAGCAGGAACAGATGTGCTTTAATGAAACAAATATGGCAATCCCAAGCCAATATTCTCTGGAAGTAAAAGGGACAAAGCTTTCTATATAAAACATGGGAAACTTATTATACTATACTTAACGTTCTCCATGCTCTATTTACCTGGTTGGCTGTAAGAATGGATTAAAAAGACTTTATTTGCATCACAAAATCTTTTTGCTCTTAAATTGTTTTTCAGGCACGAGACAAATTAAACTGGACACACTTAGTACTTTGGTTATTTTTTCCCCTCCATAGAATGCATATGTATATTATTCTGTGGTTCATTTTCATCCTAAAACACATGCTAATAATTAAATACAAAACCTGCCCCAGACATGCTAGTAGCTTACTGCTAAAAGACTCTGGTTTATTTCCGCTCCTTCCATTTTTGTTTGTCGATCTGAGTCTCTGGCATCAGCTGCCCTTTCACTGCCAGCCAAGTCAATGAATGATATCCTAGAAAAAACAAAGTTGCATTTATCTTAGGGCCTTTTTTTAAAAAAAAATTTTATTTTCCTTTTCCTTTTTTTTTTTCTTTTTTAAACCAGAGGGCTGCAACACATGACATCAGAAGAACGATTAGAAATAACTCCTTTTGAACAAAAAGAAATACCCACTGGAAATATCTGAGGCACCAAAATAAGCATAGCAGCGGGTACAGTGTCAGAGCATCCTGACACTAACACAATCATAATCGAAAGCATAATTGCATGTGATGAGAGTGCTCCACAGTTTAATGGATAAGCTGTTTAACGCAAAACACATTCCTCTCTCCAGATAATCACTGTGCTTGTAGCTTCCTAAGTATACAGTTAAAGACATTGTAAATTACTTGTTTCTCCTTCCAGGTAAAACAGACAACTGCCCTGTCAAATAGGAATTCAAGGCAATATGAACAGAAATTTCCAGTGTAGTAATACACCGAAGTTTCAGTGCTCCTTTTCCGTTCCTTCCACAAAACCCCATTACACCCTCTCACGTTTCCCAGCTCTGGGTGCCAACTGCTGTACTGACTGTTGCAGTGTAACTTTGTCTTTGCCCTTCTTTTTCTGGAACAGCCCTGACTTCTCTTACAGGCATATCTTGGAATCTTTTCCCCACTCCAGCTCCACCTCACTTTCAGTAACAAAAAACACAGCACACATGCCACACCTACATGACCACATACACTTCTATTTCTACGCCTGCCTGTTGTGCCTTTTCCTCTCTCCACTATTTGTGGCTCTTCCATTTTGCCTTATATTTAAAATAAGATCCCAGGAAGCAAGACTGCATGGTAATTGCTGGAAGGGTGTGTCAGCATGGTTTTTTGACACTCAATCAAGACCTCTTTCCTCAGACCTATTTCTTGGGGTTGTTTAGTCTGGAGAAAGATTAACTGAGAAGAGGCACAATTACAGTCTCAAATACATGAAGTGGCTGCTACAAGTGTAAATAAACTGCTCTTTTTGTCTGCTGCAGATAGCTTCAGTCACACTCAAATTATTAGGGAGGTTTAGGCGAGGTACTATGTCTGACCAAAGGCAAACATCCCTAGTGGAACCATCTCCAGCTGAGCTAGTCATCCCAGGCTCCCTTTGTAGTCAATTACAGGACAGAGGTGCTTTGAGGGGCAAATGCATCTGACCTAATTTAGATGACTCCACAGAATGGCATGAATTGGATTCCAGAAATTACTATTTCTTTCTACTGACTTCAAAGGTGACAAGCTCACATGGGGATAGGCCCATTGCAGACGTCTACCTTTAAGCCAGACTAATGCCAGACAGGAAAGGCTTCTTAACACTGAAGATGAAGGGATGGATTTGATTGCCAAACTCCTTCACTGGAAATTTTTACAAACGAGTTTGACAAAGCTCTCACAGATGTGGCTTAAGCACTCTCTCTGGGAAGAGAGAAAGGACTGTGAAACTTCTCAAGGTCTCTTTGAACCCCAGCTTCTGATGTAACTCACAGCTGCCTACTAACTCAACACCTCCTCTTTTTTTATCTCCTAGGTGTCTCTGGGCTCAACTTCCTCACTAGCCCTGAGTGCTCCCACTTCTAGTCTTACCTTCCAAATGTCCTGTTGGCTGTGTCTTTAATTTGGATTTGGATGATAGCATGAGATCGTGAGGAATCTGAATTGACTCCAGTAGCTCCTGTGCTACGTTCTTTTCCCCCCTTCAAAATCACCTGCAAAATAAGGGGGAAAAAATCCAAGCAAATTGTAAATAACAACACAATCTTTCAGAAAGAAATCTTGTCCTCCTAAGATGAGGTAACATTAGGAGGAATGGTTCATTACAGCCTTAAAATCTGGTGCAAGCCAGATGTTAAGTTAGACTGGATCCCTTCCAATGTGCCTTTCAGAACTTACATGGACTTACTTGCAGTGACACTATGGAGCTTAGAGAGCATACTGCAGATAAGAAGTTGTTGCATTGCACATTCACTCAGATTTGAAAAATATCCTAACTATAAAATTAAAAACAAAGGTATGGCAGAAATGAAAGAAAGTAAGACTGCAGACATAACGTAAGATACTCTTTGTTGTGTTCTTTTAAAATTTCACTTTCTCATGTAATAGATGGGTACTGTTATGCAGAAAGTTACATACAAAACACAAAGTTCCAAAACCTTTCTCCATTTCCATAACTAAAAGAAATTATGCCAGCGTAAGGAACAAAGTTAAAAGATCAGTTATGCTCAATACAACAATAAAATAAGAAAACAGGGTAGAAAGTCACAGCAGAAGGACAAAGGTTCCTTCAAGATACGTATCTGGATAATTCTCTTTTGCAAACCTTTAAGGACTCTAGCAGAAGGTCTAGCAGCCACTGCAGCGTTCATAAAACATTCATAAAACAGTCATTAGTGTTGTTTCTGGTTGTAAGAACAAATGAAAATATTATCTAGCAAAATCAACACATTCTCAGTTGACAGATGTGCATTATTCATGCCTTTCAGTGGCTGGTTCTCAACCAGCAACCTAACCACCTGCTGCAGCTCCCGAGCATTATATTAGCGCTAAACGCAGATAATTTCTGAACCAAAGCCAACATCAATGAATACTGAATAACTAGGGATGTATTCAAGACTCTTCCCATATATCTGTTGCAGACTATTCAGAAGCTCTGAGTCAAGCCAGTGTCATTTCTGTGTTCAAAAGGGCCTGTGGACAATATAAAATTATTTTTTTTGCCAAGATACCTGTAAGAATAAAGTCATTTAATACCTCTTCTGTGTGTAGAATGTGATAATACAGAGGAATCTGTTAATAAACCATATAGCGAATTTACACTCTAATTTGCAGAAGCATCACCAGCATGTCCCGAAGCTTGGAGTTAATGGGAAGATCAAGAACAAAATTAAATTGAATATAAGTGGGCAACACCATGCCAGTTTTAATGAGTCAATTACACTATCAGGGACTTGTAATTTACACTTCCTTACTGAGAAAGAAATTAAACTATGCAAAGTCAGGCTAAATGGAAATCAGACTTAACCAGCTTGCTTGCTGCAGGACAATGCAGAATATTTGCCAGTGCCCTTTTAGGGCTCAGCCAGGCAGGGAAGGAAAACTGAAGCCTTGCTTGTGCTGAATGTCAGCTACCATTTAAAGGTCCTAATTTTACTTGGCTGTTAACATCCATCATTATCTAAGCAGTGTCTTAATTCTAGTTCAGATCAATATCTCAATCTTAAGTCTTTTCTAATTTGTAGTTCTATTCATTTTCAAATTTATATCTTTTGTCCCACATCCAAGCACCTTTAATAATGAAAATGTAAAGTTCATATAAGCCAAATAAACTGGGAGAAAATACTTATCCAGCTTTCAGGGTCCCTTGCTGGGACACTATTTAATTTCTGGAATAGTGATAGCAGTCTATTTCTTGGCAAAGATCTTTCCATAAGGAGCGGCAGCAGAATCAACAGGTGTAAATCAACAGCTTGCATGTCTCTAACACAAGTCACAGTGACCCAAAAAAACTTACTGAATAAAGGAACTTATAATAGTGCTCCTCAGTGCTCTGCTGGGGTTGAAAATTTCAGGACCTTCAACAGAAATATACACATGTACTACACAACAAATAACGATCTCTGTAAATGAAGTATCTCACAAATCAGCAAATCAGGCTGTAGAAGACAGAAATAATCAAATATGTAGAGGTTACCTCCAATAGTAGATCTACAGAGTCCACCTGCACCTCACGCAGTCCAACTATTTGAACGACATGCTTGCTATCTTCTCTTGCAAAAAGTCTGAAAATTTAGAGCGGAAAGGAGTTCTGAAACCTCAGATTGCACCAATGAAAACACATTTCAGTGCTATGACACTGTGAAAAAGCAGTCAAGGCTACAGACTGGGGGGAGCATCACTGTCATTCATTTATTTTCAGAGCTGAAGATGTATTTCACTTATGACATGTACCACTGACATCTCACTGTTAGACAGACATTAGCAATGCATTTCTGCTAGTTCAGGAATATAATAAAGCAGGGAAGTAAATTACCATGTTTACATTTTAGAGTTCCTGTCTCTCTTTAAACAGCATCTCTGGCTTCTCTAGGAAGTTCAGACTGTAAGTTACGCTCTGTTCAAGTTCTCAAGATTTTTGCACAGGATTTTAAAGCAGCTCCCATAGCCATAGAGTCAGATTTCAGAGTACTTCTGCTATGAATCACACAAAAGCATTACAGTACATAGGAAGAATACAGCCATGATGCACATGCGACGAAGTTTAATCTTCTCTTTCAATGACATGTAAGATAGCTAATGGACATGCAGAGAATATGAGGACACTACTTCTTCCTTAGTAAATCGACCCCTTACGTAGCACATTACATTACCTGCTCCTTAAAGACTGTTTTGGAGAAAGGGAACACACATGCACAGAAAGAGGTGCTTCCTTGGTGAACAGATGCTCCCTTCCCCAGGCACAAAGCCTTCCTCTTGAGCTCTAAGTGAGCTCAGTGTGCTCTAAGGATAGTGCTCTCCAGGTTTCTAAAGGCCTCCAAGCTAACAGGTAACATTCTTTCAAGATCACTCTGAAAAGATTTCACCGCTGAGATCTTAACTGACTGTTATTTTGAGATTTCAGACCACAGTGATTTTTTTTTATACCAGGTAGGTACTGAGTTGTCCAAATTTCTATTCCAGATGGAGCTCCTGTAGGAGTATGTGTGCATCCAAATGAGTCAAGGGCTGAAGTGCTACTACTGAGGGTGATGGCAGCATCACCTGCAGAGGCTCGCTCCAGTTGAGTCACTGGGCTGCCGGGTAAAGGTGCTCAGGCAGAAGGCGAGCAGACCCTGCAGTGTTACGCACGACAAGTGGGAGATCAAAGGGATCTTCAGAGACTAGTGTGGCAAGAGCCAAAGCCCCACCAGCACAGCAGGAGGGACAGCCAGAGGTTATGTTTGAGCAGGGAAAGACAGGGAATCCACAATGGTTGGCATTAACTTCTGGCCACAGGAACGTTCTTTCTCTACCTATGGACGTTCAGCGATTGTATTATTATAGTGTAAACAAAACAGCATGAGCTTATATTCAGCCATAGGTCCTTATTCTTACTTATTTGCCGCTGGTCCTCAAATTAGTAAAAACCAGGAGCCCCTATCAATGCCACAGTATTTAGTGTTAGAATCTGCCTTCCTCTCTAAGTAGTTCCTAAGAACAACCCTAATTAACTACATAACATTTACTCTAAATAGTAACAAGTTAAATGTATTTGCATGAAACTGTAACGGATTTATAAACAGTAACCAACTGATTCATAACCATAGGTTTATAGCAAAACATATTTTTATTTAAATACCTCTTCCTTCCATTTAGCAGGTCATAAAGCTGTCCACAGTAGATCTCGTAAAAACTGATCAAAACAAGGAGATCTTTCCTTGACTGTGGTGCTTCCAGGTGTCTAAAGATGTCCTTGGCAGCCAAGGCGTAGAGTCCTGGGTTCCGGTGAGTACCTATCATAGTGTAAGTCTTGCCAGCACCAGTCTGCCCATATGCAAAGCAGGTTGCATTGCCTCTGTGAAGATAAAATTTTTAGCGTCACGTCCCATTTATTTCTATCTATTAAAAAAGATTCTGCAATGTCTGTATCTATCTATAGTGATTTCTTAGCAATGAAGTTTGGTTTACTATCCTATCTGGGAAACTGCAAAACACTTCACAATGATTCCCAAGCATGTCCCATAGAGAGCTGGTGTGTCACAAAGTGCCAGCTCGCTTCCTTTCTTCCAGATTCCAAAAAGGCATTTAAGGGAACTAAGAATCCATTATTGTTCTTCCAGCTGTTTATACACAGCAGAAGTATCATAGGATTATGAATGGGTATCCTTCTGATTATGAATCACATAGAGAAATGACTGTGACATGAGACGCAAAACAGCCACAAGTCAGGTTCTGTATTAACACATTATACTTGATGAAAATTAACACCATGGCACTATAATTTACTGACCAAGGTTACTTAGTCTCAGGCTGCAGTCCTGCTAAATCAATCTAAAGGCTTGTTGCCTAGGGGAAGGTCTTGCTCTTCCCTTCCTCTGCTCCCAGCTGTGTGACCTACCCCACTGACCCACCTGTCCCTGTGCTGGCTCTGGTGTTACTGCACTGAAATAGCAGAAAGCTTTCCACTTTTTTGCAAGCTAATCTTCTGCTGTTTCAGTGAATTAAAGTACCTCACAGAGTATCACAGAATATGCCCAAATTAGCTTCATGTAACCTATGAGAATGTTTCTCGTGAGGGTTAAGGAAGATGATCGTTCACTTTCAGTGGCAGAGAGCTGTTTGGTTCACTCACTGTTTGGTTCAGCCTTGGCTTCTTCCAGATTGCTCCAGCTTTATCAACATATAACCTTAAGATTATAGTGGCAATGCACATACAATTCCAAGGATGTCTCAGGATACAGCCCAAACTGTACTTCAAGGCCATCTAAGTTGAGGTTACTGCATGCCTACTTCTCCTTCCCCATTCTTGCTTTTATACAAGCATTTAACCCACAAGTATGATGTGAACAGATTCAGGGAACTGAATCAGCCAAAAAAGAAATACTACAGAACAAATCATATATTACCCTCCCCTTAAAAAAAAAGACTTTTTAGCTGGCTCAATACCCTGGCAGAGGAATGGATAAAAACGTAGGGCTGCAGTAAGCACAGTGAACAATTTCTTGCCAGCTTAGGTTGCAGAATTAGCTCTCAGATTAGACCAATGCCAGTGAAGGGGATGCAGCAGGAGGGCCAGAAAAGTTAGGGAAACCAAAGAAAACACAGTGGCATGTCTTTTGGTGTCGTTACTGGATTAGATGTAATGTGCTGTGAGCTGTGCCTTTAGTAGTTATTACACAGCAAGCTGCAAGCCTCATTCTCCTTTTTAACTTCCCTTTTCTCAAGAGCATGATATTCTCTGTCTCTGATGATGATACTTGGAGATTTTCAGTAACAGAATGCTCAATTTTGTTAATTTTCAGCATGGATATGTAATCCTTTCCTTCAAAGACTCAAAAATGTAATTATGTTCAAGCTTGTTACTTTGCGTGAAAATAGGATCACTCATGTAAAGCCATCATCAATTTCACATTACTCAGGAAGTATGTAGTTATGATTAAACCTCTAAGAAAACATAAATCAATAAAATAAAAGTACATCACAAGGTTACTAATAATTTCTACTGCTCTGTAAGCTGTACAAATATATGCAAAAATATCTCACAGCAGTCTCATGAAAGAGGCAATATTATTCCTCTACAGATGAGTGTGCTATACCACTCAAAAAGTTAGAGTGAAGATCAGACTTTAGAAATCCTGGCACATAATTTTTCATTCTAGGTTAACCATGGTGTCTCTTTGTGCCACCTGACATCCAATTTTAACTTCCCCAGTGATTCAGATTTCTCACCAAATGTCAAGAAAGTTTTCCCTGATTTATGTTGTCAAAATTATAATCAAAGACATTCTAAAAGGGGGAAGGTATGTGGCAAAGGTGAAATGAAAGTATTTTTCAAAAGATGAAAAGCATAAAAGGAAAATTAAAGCAGTATATGAAACTGGAAAACAAAAAGACAAAAAATAACAAATGTAAGCGCTGATGCCCTACCCGTTAAAAATATGCTGAATGAGAGGATGAGCTGTCTTCATATACACATCCTGATTGGTACATGACTCCCCAAAGACTTCATCAAAATAAAAAACATGCTGAAAAATAAATATGCTCTTTACATGAAAATGAATATGTTTCACTTCCCCTTCACCCCTACTCAAAGGTAAATGGAAATACAGAAGTCTTTCGAGTGACTTCATATGGCTGTCGATCAGCTACAAAATGATCTAGCACATTTAACATGCAGCATGACATATGCACCAACACATCATTATGATTAATCAAGAGACTGGGGGGTGGGGAGAAGGAAGCAAAGATGCCTTAATTTCCAATCATTCTGAAGCAGAACATACCACAGCCTTCTGACAGGGGGAAAAAAAAAAAAAGCTAATTAAAGAAAACCCTCATCTATTCCTGAAATGAATCAGCCTACAGATGTACAGTAAGACTATAACAGTAAAAAAAACTCAGTCAGCTCTTGACTCTCCCAAAATTAGTCCTCAGTTGTCACTAATTGCCTCTGTTCTGCAGACTTAAAAACTTTTTGTGCCAGAGAAGACAGAAGCTATTCCTTAGCAAAGCTGGATTGTATTATCTCAGAAGGGGGCAAGAAAACCCAAAACTTCCCATGCTCCTGATCTGACCCAAAGCAGCAGGGTCTGGAAACACTGCAACAGCATTCATTTATGGGCTCCTTCTAGGTTAAGAATAGTGGTTATAGGGACAGTCACAAACATCACGTTTTTAAAAAAGCCTCCAAGGACTGGTGTCTAACGCACTCGAATAAATTCACTGCAGTGTAAATTAAGGTGGTAGAACTCTAGGACTGAAAATCATTTCAACGATGCACAAACAAACCAAAACCAGTGGACAGGCTGATGAAACCAGGGAGTCTCAGCAGCTAAACTCGTCTGAGAGGCCAGATATGCTCTGTGGTGGGCCTGAGCTTCAGGTCCCCTCACCGTGGAGCCTGAATATGCCCCACCACCTCCCATTTGCTCTGTACCCCTTGCTGTCCTTTCTATAGGAACCAGAGATGGAGGCAGGACGAGTAGCCAGACTTGGAAGCAGAGAAGTTCTCCTGGGTCCTACAGAATAGACACAGCCTTTGCCATGGGGTACCTTTGTTTGGACAATATTGATTGATGGCAAGATTTTGTTTGTCTGTACTGGCATAAAAAATTAATTAGCTGTTATTTCAGCACTGAGATACTGAGATGATAAGCACTGCGTAAATGCCAAATATCGGTAGTTAGATGGAAGGAGTGGGGTGGAGTCACTGTTATGTGTTGCACCATAAAAGGCGGTACATGAACCTGACTCAAGAGAGCTGCAAACTAAATTTTTACTGGATACTCCAAACAGTTGTTCCTAGGACCCAAACTGTAAAAATAACACCCAGTAGAGTGAGAATGGCTTTTGCTGCTCTCTAGAAATCAGTTCTGTTCCTGGTGCTGTCAGTCAAAAATGAGAATTTGAACTATGACAGCACAAGGTATTTGGGATTAAGAAACAAAGACCAAAAGGGAGCTTAATTTTCAAAAGCATTTGAGAACAAAGGAAGGGAGGAGATAAGAGTGTAAGTGATTCACTGAAACAGACCTACAGTGCTGAAATAGTGAGAAGGGAACTCCTCACTGAAGTACCCTAGAAAGCTATCAAGAGACTGCAGCAGGCAATTCTCCTGCAGCAACGGCACGTAGCAGAGGATTTTATTTTGCCACATGCAAAGAAAGCTGCAAGAGACATGCTTTTCAGGCTTCAAATTCTGGGCTCAGGTTTTCTACCACAGACTGGTGTAAGTGAGAAGCAATTCAAATATAGTTATGCTGAGCTTATAGAAGAGCCCACCACCTATTTTAGTGCAAGAAATGCAGACAGCCCTTTTCTGTTTCCCCTCATTGAAACTCAAAGCACAATTTGCTTTATCCCACCATGCAAGTGATGGGCCCATAAACACAACACTCAAGTGGAGCATGTTACCTGTAAAATGTATTGGGTGAGATCAACCGCCTCCTTCTTCTCATGAAGAAGTAGGGTTTCTTTATCTTTCACTGTGATGATATTAACCTCCCCACGTCGCTCTTCTCTCAGGCCTAGAGGACGTTTTCGAACACACACTCTGATTTTTTCACTCTCTGTCCATGGAGTTTCTTTCTCAGAGGTACTGGATCTACAATGATAATGTAGGTTTACATTTTAAAATCAGGTTACTACAGAATGTAGAATATGCATAAATTTGTTAGCTTTATCAGTTTCATGTTTAAAGACATTTCTGTCTTCAAAGGCTTATAAAAAAAAACCCGCAAAACACATCTTATTGTTACACAGTGAAGTTTCTGCTGTTTTTTCCTAAATAGACTGATGCCTTTTGTGCACTTCTGTTAAGAGAATAGTTGTCTTTATACAGCTACATTCCTGAACTTGTTGCTGGACTGGCATATTTTCAGTTGTCCACAAGCATGTGATTGAAGCTGGCATAATAGGCAAGTTAACTATGAAATTTAATCTTGCTGAAATTATATGCAGTCATGATTAGTCACTTAATAATGTACAGATAAATGTGTGACCAGATCTTGAAAAGGAAAGGGTATAATATTTAGTTTCTTTTCCTCTCATGCTGACTTTTCATTCTTCCTATTACAGGCTGTGAAATAGGTTACAAGTAAGTGACTCAAGGGAGTAAGACAGTATTTTACTTGTTACAAGTAAAACAACTGGGAAACAAGACAGTATCACTATGTTCCTATTCAGCGCAAAGAAAATTCAAAATATTCATCTTGTCATTGTCTCCCCTTTGGTCTTTTTTCATAAAAAAACTACACGGTTTCAGATCACAAGCAGAATTGTGCTGTTGTGTTTTGTCAAGTCTACTTTAGTTCCCTTCCGGGTACCTCAGAAACATGAGGTCATTTTGTGTTTCATTGATTAACCTGCTGTGTAAAAGCATTTTGTGAGGCAGCATACAGAATATGCTTGAATTCAACCAAAATGTATTCATTTCACCTTTCCCTTTTTCAAGTTATTTTCAGCCAAATAAGTAATGATTTTCAGCCTGGATTTGAATGTCAATTTGTGAGAAAAAAAAAATAATTTAAATCAAGCCCCAACTTGCCCAGAAGTAGTGTTTCTGCCATAATGTCCAAATGCCCTTCCAAAATCACTATGGAAAACTAACATACACTAGCAGTCCAATAAATTAAAACCAAACCCACAAGTTATTCAATATCTCATTACAACTATAAGCTTGTAGTATCATCGCTGTTGTGTTGCATGATTCACTTGAAGCATACAATATGTAGATATATATCTCAAGATGAAGTTTGCGAAGACTACACATGAGTAATCTTTACTTGTAACTAGAGTCCCTTTAATTTTAGAACAGCTTTCCCATGCAGACCAGGATCAGGTCCTGCGTTTAGATGGAAAATTCTTTCCCCTGAAAAGAAAGGCAATGATACTGTGAAATAAGATGCTTCATAAGCTAGTGTGAGCTTATGGATATCACTAGGCACCAAATGTTGTCCAACAAATGATCAGAGGCTCTGAAGTTTATTTCTCATGTCAGAGGCTTGATTTGGTGACCTACAGAAAGAGCCTGTTGAGCTCTAAAAGCCTGAAGAAGGAAGGACTGATTACAGGATTTGGAGAATGGAAAAACTGAAGACTTCGCGTCTGTATGGGAACAGAATGCATTGTAATTCTATATGCTAAACCTGAAGTTTAGCTTTTCTATTAATTTTTCTTAAATAGAAATTGTATTTTACAACAAAATATATTTTTTATTACTAGAAAAAAAAAATCTTGACACAGGTCATCAGAAACCTGATCAGGCAATAGGTCAGAAGAATCACTATGCACCATCTCCTACAGGGCTGCCACTTGCTGTGGGCAAATCCAAAATACATTTAAACATATTAAAAGAGCTCTTTATCTTTCTGCCATCTGAAATCATGACAGTCTTCTCCAATGTTTCTCATAGATGAGACTAGATTAGCCTTTGCAGTGGTCAAAACACAGGGTGACATGGGAATGGATGGATTCAGTGAAGGAGTTTGGCACTTGCGAAACAGGAATCACAAACTCAAGTGTCAGCAGACTGGCCCAAGCCTGGAATGCACAACACGTACTCTGCGGTCAAAACAGGAGAAAGAGAAACTCAGGCATGTCAGGAGGAGGATGCAGAAAGCCCAAAGGATGGACTATAACACTAGGCACAAAAGAATGTGCTTACAAAAAAAGAGAACAAGAAGGAAAGAAAGCAAGAACAATGGAGAACACGGCTTTATCACAGGATTAAAAATCTTGAACTCCTCTAGCTGAGCCATTAAATTGTATTTTATAATTTTTTACTTGCCAGCACTATGAATCCTGCGCTTTTAGTTGCACCATGGCTCAACTTCTAGAGTGGACAGAGAATGCACTAATATGCTAATATATGTAGGAGGTTAGTGCACTTCTCTGGAAGGTAGGAATGATTTTTTTTTTTTCTAACAAAGGGGAGTTATAAACCTCTGTCTTGCATTTCATAGTTTAAGTGCTCTAACTACTATGTAACCTTAGTACTCTTCCACTGTGGCAACAGCATCTATACCTCCAGGCTACATGCATGCTCAATGGGAGTTGTGACTGACACCCTGACTCCAGGGATCCTCCCATATACCAAATCTTTTCCCATGGCCTTCTCAGACCAAGCCCCAACCTCATACAGCTACCTCTCTTCACCACATTTTAAAACAAAACTGCCACAACTGCATTGCAATGAGTTAGATGCTGGTAGTATGCGTGCAGAGGGGTATGTGCTCTTCTGCTGAATCAGGAAAAAAATATTTTGTGCTTTAAAAATGTTTCCAGGGTAGATTTACCAGTGGTTCAAGATAACCATAGCCCCTCTGTTACCAAACATTAGGAAAACTATGAAAGTTACAGATCATGTGCTTGGGGACCAGCTGCAAGGCATCCCTCTCACAACCATGTCCGTATCCCATCCCACTTAGATTCATTCTGTATCTTTTTAAAGCTGGAGTTCAGAAATTTCTTTATGAACAAATACAGCCATCACCATATATATCCTTTTTACCGGGAAAAACTTGAGAAACTTATCAAAGCACAATACCATATTTCGGAAAAATAATATTTTGCAAGAAAGCCTTGTGGAAAGAAAAAGAGAAAGAAAGATTGGCCAAAACACCAAGAAAACAAAGCCTTACATCCTGAAAGACAATAAAGACTATTCTTAGACAACCTTGGTGAGTAGCAGCTAGAGACGTTCAGCTGAGTCCTTCTACCAGACTTGGAGAGTAATAAGTGCTTATTAATATCTCTCTTCTCTACAAGATTTTGCATTGCTCTCTAGTGGTAGGATTGCTTAGTTGGAGGTGAGGAATACAGATTATCCTCCACAATGAAAGAAGAATTAACTATGACTAACTTGAAATATCACCAAGTAAAGGCAACTGATTATTACCTGATACAGGAATGAGGTAGTCCATAATTATACCCTGAAATATGAGTTATTCTTTGTATGATAGGAGCTTCAGAATCCCCCAGGAGAGAAGCAATATCATCAGAAACTGTTGGACAGCTCAGATCCTTTTTTGTGCATATTCCAGGAGTATTTAGGTCTCTTCTATTTAATCTGATCAGCTCTGAATCATGTGGTTTAATGTGTCCCAACATTTCCCCTGCACTGTTGTTCTTGTCATTGGCACTGAAATCAGACGAATGATATGATTCAGATTCAGAGTCCTGAATTTTCTTCAAAATTCCATCATTTTCTTCAAAAAAGGACTCAAAATGCAGCTGTCTACGGGGACCTGATCTGGTCACCTGAGGCTGAATGAAAAGGCTATTTGGTTGAAAATCTTGCTTGTTTAAGTCTGCAATATCTTCCTCTTGCATAATTTTGATTATTCTAATGAGCTGAAAGAGTCGTTTGCGGTCATTCATGTCATGGATCCCCAGTTTGATATAATCTTTCATGGAAACTTTGGCAAGCTCATCAATCTTCTGAAGACCAAAGGCAGCAAAATGGGGATAGTATTTTTCAAGTTCTGCCTCACAAAGACATTCATAAAGGCATGATGCCATCTTCAAGCTAAAGTCTACAAGAAATCAAACAAAGTAAATATTAGAATCATATGAAACACCACATCTGACAAAGTTACTAATGAAGAAGCTACACATTTCCTGATGCCATTACCTGCAGTTAGGCTAGAAGCTTGTTTAAATTCAAGTTTACAATACACTAGACTGCCAAACACTACAGAACATAGCAATAACAACAATAAATGGAAGACGAAACAAATATCTTATCTATGAAACTATATTTTAAAATTATAGACAATACACAATAACGTGTAAGAAATGCACAATGCAGTGTTACTTACTGCTGCAGAGCTCCTAAATGCCTGATGTCTCCTTGATGAATGCCACGGCTACTGAAACCCTGTCCTCAAGCTACAGAATGTAAAATGCCTAATTTTAGACACTCAATTTAATATCAGGGCATGTGGTCTAACGTGGTTCAGCTATCCCTGGTTAACTAACCAAAGGACAAGAAATTGCATTTGTCCTCACCTCAAGCTGAATAATTAAGACCATTCATCTTACAGATGAACTACAGCAAAGTTGTAGTTTTGTTGCATAACTTTCTCTTGTATGTAATGAATCTTGTGAGCATTTCTAAGTGTCCTTGACAGAATAACCAAAAACATTCTGCGAAATCTGAAACACAGAATTTCTCTAAATCTATATATGCTACTGGAACGCCATACTTGCATTCTTGGGAAACCCAAAAAAGCAACAAGCATCACTGAAAGGTATGCCAAAAAACCCTCAACTCCTTCACTCATGTCTCCCTTGCAATGCATTGTGCAGCTGTCTGGATCCAGATGGATTAGTATCTGCAGATATTTTTACTTGTTCCATAAAATTGAAAAATGATAGCACTTCAAGTATCTGTTGCCCACTGCCTTCTTATATCTTTGTTCAGTCTAGGACTTTAGCAAATACAGCTCTTACTCATGTTTGGAGGTTACAATACCATTCAACAAAACCAAGTTACTTAAGACCTAAGTTACTTGTAATTCAGGGTGAGTTCTTTGGCAGGATTTTCAAGCATCTCTACCATAAGATTATATAAAAAAATAAGGTCACCAAATATAACTCCAAAATTGGATTCCATATCATTAACAGATTATGTTGAAATAATAATCACAACAACAAAACAATAAAGATTATATTAAAGTCCTGATTGTATAGGATATTACAGAGGCCAAAAAGGTGCAGTAGAGGACATCTAGAATTACTTAGAAGCTACAGTCTAAGCTGTTGACAGTTGTTAGCCATAATAAAATTATGAGATTCAGCAGTAACAAGCTTCAAGACAAAAACATTGGTATGTAGGTGGAATTATTTAATGTGTATGCAAAGCAATTCTGAATCTCAAGGTAAAGTCAGAGCCATTGCAGAGATCATTAGATTCTGGGAGCTGAAAATCAAAATTGACAGAGAGGATAGCAAATCCAAAGCTGACACATGTGCAAGGGTTTTCACAAGCATTCACAGTTTGCCAACTTCTTTAACAGATAAAACTTCACAGGAACTTCAGACTTCATTTAAAGAAGGGTTATGATTTTTTTTTTTTTTGAAAAAATGCTTCTCTTACATAAGGTAGCTTAAAATATCAAAAAAGTACAGGGCCTGTGTAAGTGTCAGTATGCACTGCTATGGGAAACTTCTTTTGTTTGATGAAAGGAGCAGCTAGAACACAAAGCTGAGATACCAATCTCAAAGTACTAAGAATCTGTTAAAGATGAAAGCAATCCAGCAAATTTCTTTCATCTATTCTCACTCTGTATTCTAGACTACACTTTTATCTTTATATATGCTTAAGTTAAATACTGAGTGGCCAAGACTAGTGCAAGAACTAATTTGGTGATAACCCGTTTGAATGACAATATTGAACACAGGAGAGAGAAGAGAGGATAAAAAGCAAAAAACATTGAGACACTTATCAAAACAAGAGCAGCATACATGGGGAGAGAACTAAGAATTTTAAGCTCAAGGTTCTAATTAAAAATTAAACTAAATACATTTAAACAGCTAGAAATGAGTGTACAGACAGATTTCCATTATGTGGGGTAACAAGGGATTAAGATTCTCAAAATACGGAAAATCTAAGTAATATAGGTACTGCAGAACATACGAGAAGGTTAGTACAGAGACATGTAAGCAGCTCTGCACGGCTTATTGGCTAAGGCTCTGTGCCATGTAAAAGCAACTAAATGGCTTCTTAATGACAGCTGGCCTGGGAACTAATGTAACTGCTTCTGTTTCCCCACATATAACAAATCTTACTGGATCTAAGTGGTTTTGGGAGATAACTCCAGTGTCTCTCCATCCATAGAAGACCAACTTCACAACTGAGGAAACCTAGTCTGAACATTGACTAATAAAGCAGTAGGAAATCAATTAACCATGGAAAAAAATGAAGCAAACGTCATGGTCATGGGTTCCAGCATTTCTGATTACTTTAAAACTCAAGAGTAGACAATTTCCTAAAAGATTTGGTCTGGTTCATACGCAAGAGAATTCAGAGGAAATTGCAGCTGTCAGTGAAAACCTTCCAGCCTTATAATTGCCAACGCTCTACAAGAAAGGAGCGCCTTTCTCCTCATTAAAAGAATACCTTAATTCATTTAACACTGTACAATCCTTTGTGTCTGAAGACACTGCTTCTAAAACAGATACATAATTCTTCAAAATAAATTGGCTTGGTAAAGAAATAAGAGGAGTATTGGTAGGTTTTCAAGAATCCTAAACTGTTAATGATAATGCCATCTTCCGGCAAAAAGAGAGAAGACTTATGTTTTTTTACAATAAAAACCAGCCAGCATTCCCTCAGTTCTTGTCAGGATCTAATTTTGTTTGTTCATCTGAAAGAACATTGTGTCCTGGGGCAGAAAAATATAACATTCTTCAGCGTGGTAGTTTCATATCAAAGCCCAGGTCTTGTTCCCTGCTAAGCTGTGGATGGCTTCACTGAAAAGAGGATTGAGACAAAAGTCTAAGTCTTCTTAAAATGGTTGAATATAACATAGGTTTGAGAAAGAATATGGTATGGAGGTATAATTCTCCATGAGCACTCAGTTATAAGGTCAGATAGCCTCAGGTCTAAGAACAACTTTTCACTCAATCTCTATTACTCTTCACTGTTCAGTGGTTGCTCTTCTCGTTTCAGCTGGCAGAAAGACTCAGCTTCACTTTGAAATTTTCACCACCTTCTCACACAAGAGACCTACTTCGCCACAGACAAAAAGATGCTGAAGCTGGTCAGTGAAACAGTGAAGTCAGCAGAAGTCCAGAGCATCTTCACTTACTAACACACAAGCTAGCAGCGAGGGCAAAACAGTTAAGAGTGATACACCTTACTGCTGGAACATGGGGGATGTCTGAACAAGGGACCAGTCAGTCAACCTATTATCTTGGTGTGGCAAACCAGAGTTCTCTACAACTCACTTCTTATGCAAAGAAGTTTTACAAAGATCTTAAAAGGCTGCCAGATGCTCGTAATGGATAAGTACTTATTGTAAAAAAGCATTAGAATTTTATATAAAGGGACCAACTCAAACACAGAATAAGATCATACTTGTCATCAGAGAATTCCTCCTCTGTTTCAGTAACAGAGGTTTTTAAAAGTCACAAAGTGGGGGAAAAAAGAAAAGTCAGGCACAAATAGTAGAAACGAGTGGTTACATTTTACGTATTCTGAAGGAAATTAACTTACCACAAAATTATGCTCTAGGAGCTGATCCTCCATTTTAAAATGCTTTTATTTATTAATTAGCTCTTACACAGCTTTTTTCATTCTCAATGCATTTTTCAAAATGGAGAAAAGGCTGGCCTTCAAAGATACCCACTCAGTGAGTGTCTGTCCGTGTGCATAAAATAAATCGCGTAAAATCCTTACGTAGACTATTTTAAGAATAAAGCAGCCTTAGACCACTATATCTTGATCCTTATTAACCTCTGATATATTAAAGATCTCAGTGCACCGTTCACTTGAATAACGCTTATGTGCCCTGTTATCACACTGTAGCTCACTCATATTTACCTGACAATTTCAGCTGACTGTCACTGATAATCCTGAGTGTCACCACCGAGACATGACACAAATATCACTATATCTGTGTTTTAAACCAGGGAAATTAAGTCATGGCAAAGTGAAGACATCTGTGGTGCTCCCACAAATGCAAACTAATGCAACTAGACATTTAAATCTGCAAATAATCTAGAGATAATAATTTTGAATCATAAACTCTGGTCTGACAATTAAATAGTTAATTAAATAGATCAATTTTCAAGGGCATCTGATAAACACAGTAATTGTTAATCAGTGTACAAAACCTAAACAGCACCTTGTTTTCCTGCCTATCACTTTGTATTATGTAAATCATTTTGCTTTATAATACCTTATAAAAACAAAAGTTAAGAATTTATAAAATTTGTAAATGCATGTAACAGGTAGGTATGCTTCCTTTCCTGACCACAACTATAGCAGTGTATCGTACTCCTTACTTATAACCGTGTTACCTCAAACAAGTCTTCAGCAGAGGCTCCATCTGTGCCAAAGCGCTTGCTGATTTTTCAAGTACAGAAGCAGAAGACCAGAACAAACCTCACCTGGCAAACATACAATACAGAAAACAGAGACTTATTAACTCATGTCACCAGTCATCCATCTTTATTTCTCATTCATCTGAACATTAAGCCCTTTTTAAACTATGATCCAAAGCCAAATCTGAATTAGCCCTCCAGATGTGAATGGCTAATTTGCTTTTCCAGAGCACCACACAAAATGCTTTACCTTTAATCATTCTGACCCCATTTCTGGGAAACTAGGGTATTCCTGTGAAGAACGGGGTCAGGGTGCGGTGGCACTTTTATAAACACAAGCTCTATAATAAGAGATAATCTGTACTGTAACACAAGATCGTAATTTGTTTCATGCAGTAGGTAGGGATCTATGAAACAGTGTTTGACGTTGCAGCAGATCCCTTTGTAAGATCATAGGATTACACTGTGCA